GAAATATTTCAAAATATTAATTAAGGGTCCACTGTAAAAATTGAAAGTCTCTCAAAATTGAGAGGCGATTTGCAAATAATTGTTATCGTCTTTTTTCGAAAATCCACTTTTCCTAGTGTTCTGATTAATATTTTGTGAATGTAACAATAAAGTATATGTTTTAGTAAGATGATAATACATTCTATCTCTTCAAATCACATAAAAATTGCAAAATCAGCGAATTTTATAAGAACATGATTTTTTCGAATTTTTTCGCTTCTGGATGCGTGTTTTGAAAAATAGATATTTTCGAATTTTGATTTTAATTTAAGTATAAATTTTATATTAGGAATTTTTTTGACCTATTTCCAATCATTAATTCCTAAGTTTTTCTAGGAATTTAATTGAGAAGAAATTAGGAAATTCGGTTTAATGCCATTACATCCTAATATTGTGATGCATGTAGTTTATATTTATTGAGGCTAATGCCGGAATATCGTGCATTTTATAAAAAATTCAAAGAATTGACAATTGGATAGCACAAATTTAATTCTCTAGACAAAGTATTATTGTTTATATATTCAAAGCATTATCCTTCGTTTTGAAATGTTGGCCAAAATTTTCGTGTTATTTTTTGTGTTTCAGCATAAATTATGTATTGACTTATGAAAGATAAGCATTTTATTCATTATCATAAAGATATACCAAAACAAATTGATAAAATTTAAAAAAATGTGTATTTTAGTGGGTATTATTCTGGCCAATGCCCATTTTTAAACGATTTAATATTGACCATATCAATAGCCGACTCAATGTAAAAATTTAGATATTATTTTTTTCATTATTCAAACTTTGATAAATTTTAGTATAATGAATGATTTTGTTTTGTGTATGATACAGAAATGAAAAGCTTGATTAATATCATTTTGCATTTTTTCAAGAATGTTAGAGTACATCTACATTAAAAAATCGGATTCGAATTGCGATACTGCATCAAATTGTTGCACATCTGATAAGGATCTCAAAAGAGTAAAGTTAATTTTTTTGTGTTTTTTTAAGTTTTGGGCCTTAGTAAAAACACCATCTTGAGCAATATTTTTGGGACGATGATAGGCCTTATTTGGCCTTACAGTGGACCCTTAAAATTTTTTTTAAGTGTTCAGATGAAAATTACTTAATGGGATCAGGAATCACATATAATTCCAATAGTACTTCAAAATTTTATTAATATGAAGGCTTTTTTAAAATTTTTACGTGGTTTTTCTAAATTTTACAAAGAAATGTTGCTGGGGATATTAGGTTCATATTTGAACATATTTCTCTCTGTTCCTAAAGAGGAGTTGAAAGATTTCTTCAAATGGATCCATTTCCAAATTGAAAGCCAAATTCTCATTGTCAATGCTGATAAAAGCTATTTTGTCTCCCTTTGTCTCTTTGTTTATCTTAATAAAGCAGAATCAGTTCGTATCAACAATACAATATGGAAAAATCTTAATCTTTTTACAAAATGGAACAAATGAATCAAACCATTTCTACAGCATAATTACAGAAATAATTTATGCATAATGCAGTTTCATTATTGACATATAAACACTAGGTTTCATTTTCAAAAATTTAAAAAAAGAAAAAGGTGTATGTTATTGAGGTGAAATAAGAAATTCGGCTATTTCTTTTTTATTTTTAATTGTTGCATAATGAAGAGGAGTTTGTCTAAGATTATCTTTTTCATTGATATTTGCGTCATGCGAAATAAGAACTTTGGTTGTATCTTTACAATCAAAAAGTATTGCAACATGAAGACCTTCTCAAAGTTTATTTTTTAATTGAACTTGCATCATGTGAAAGAAGAACTTTTGTCATTGCTTTATAATTATTAAATGCTGCCCGATTAATATTGATATTTCCATTTTCATCTTTTTCATCGATATTCACCCCAAGTTAAAGAAATTTTTCTCAATGTGATCAAAAATGAGTTTAATCAAAATAAACTAGAAATGAGTCAAGAATACAAGAATATTTCAGAAACATTAGCAATAACAGAATGATCATAAATGTTTCCAAAAAGTTTCCGTTAAAACGAATGTGATACACGTCTCCAAAGATTCAAAATTTCTCTCCAACATGGAGGAAATGTGAGGTGAAATCAATGATGTTTTAACACTCATATCTTTACAAGCAAAAGAAGAATATCCATTATTATCAATCACCTAATGATGTTTGGGAACTCTTTTACAATACATCACCTAATTCAGAACCGATTCGAGGCACAAACGTTGCAGCAAAATCAACAAATCATGAATGTTTCATCTACGAAAGCATATTTATCACAATTTCAACACACAGTGCCATATATTTTACTAATGCAAACAATAAGTTCCTTAACTCTGATTGTTCATTTACTAACTGCAGTAGTATTACAAATAGTGGATCTATCAACTTTGATTGTGATAGTTCCATTGTACAATATCGATCATGTGGCTCCAGATCAAAAACAAGCTCGTATCAAGGGCATCATTCATATGTTAATTTAATTGAAAATTCAAATAATAAAAATTATATTTATGAAAGTTCTTTTTATGCATGCGGAGATATAGCAAAAGATAAAACAAATTATCTTATGTATGGAAATATTGAAGTTAAATCAATCAACACAAGTTTCTGTGAAGCAGACTATGACTCATGAATAATTCTAAGAACTTCAACTAGTTTAAGTAACATGACATTTTCATCAATTTGTAACACAACATCAACTTATTTAATTTTCGAATTAGATTCTGGTTATATATTTAATTTTTGTAATGTTTTTGAATAATGAACACAAAGAATCTAAATATGGAACATTCTATGCAGGTGGCTCAACTGTTCTTATTGGAAACTATTCATTCCTTGGAAACTCAGGACCAGGAGATGAATTTCATCAAACTGGTTCTGGTTCAATTACAGTTAAAGATTCTTTCTGTGACAGAAAAGATAAATCGCGTAGATCAGTTACACTAAATAATGTTCAAAATATATATTCTATTCATAATCTTTCTCACTTTTCATCATATCTGTGTGAAGCAGAGTTTCCTATTTTAGATTTAGTGATAAAGAAAAATATTATCACCTATGATGAAATTGTTTATCATTATTCATATCATTTTAATTCTTTTTGCATTGTTTTACTAAAGAAATAAATAACTTTTTCTACAATCCCATTAAGTTCCGAATCATGCATTCTTCTATTCGCAGCTATACGCCAACACAATTTACTACAAAATCGTTTATATCGATATTAGAGCCCACAACTCAAAACCAATACAACAATATATCTTTATGGAGAAGAATTTCTTATAATTATACGGAATATTTTTGGGATATGCTTCTTTGTATCTTTATCTAATAATGTATCTTTCGTTACAGACCTTGCTTTTGCCGCCTCTACTACGCGCTCGTTAGGAAAGAACTATACCACTAAGTATACGAAATCCGAATTACATCTAATTTTAAATTGTCAAGTGCGTGTCATTTGATAAATGCTATAACATGAATCATTCTTTGCTTGGTTCTAAACATCAGATTGTGATGATTTGCGATTGCCTTGATCAGTCATTAAAAAATTATGGGTTCTGATGGACCATCTCTCTCCCCTCAATAAATTTTATGCAATAGAAAAAACAATCCTGAACATAAAAAAGAAAAGATAGTCTATAGAAACACCAATTCAAGTGAACTTGGCATACGTTATTGAGAAGATTGTAACCAATGTAGAATATTGATATTTCATTAGAAACTTTACAAAAATGAGAATTAAAAGATTTTATTTTTTTGCGCATATTCATGTATTATGATTTGATAACGATAAAAACGGTTTTGATTTATTTTTCAAAGAGCATTCCTACTATACATGATGAGATCTAAATGGATTTCTTGGCATAGAAATCTCTAACAAAGATATCTCATTAGAAATTTAGTGTACAACATGTTTCTTTCATTATATTTATTCCTTAATCTCCAAACTTTTGGCATTGATTCCTGAATTTTAAGGTGAATTATAGTTTTAATACTTTTTATTAAGTATTCTTCGAGCAATACTATTTCAAGAATTTTTTATTACATTTTTATTAGTCCATTGATTCAACCTTGTATTCTGACTTGAAAGAATAAATCAGTTGTTATCGTATTTTTAAATTTGATGAGTTATTAATATCATCAAATTGAGATTCTTTGAATTTTAATAAAATTACTTCATTTTAAATCTATATTACATTTTGGCTTGGAGAAACACACATATCTGAGACATTGCTTATAAATAATTATAATCAATTTCTACAAAAATATTCAAAAATATATTTTTTAAAAAAAAAAAAAAAGGTAGTGGGGCTTCCAGGGGCTGCGCCCCTTCTAGCCCCGAAGATGTTTAGTATAAATGAAGTTTTTATTCGGAAAATTGTTAGTCTTCTGGTGTGAATTCGGAGGACTCTTCTTCTTCCTCCTCTTCCTCTTCTTCGTCATCGTCGGCGTAGTGGAGGAGGACGTAGTTCATCCAAATTCTGTATGGACGTCCTGATTTGGATTTAAATGAGATGGACATATTTTGTGTGAGTGTTATTTCAGTTTCGATAAAGAGTTGGTGTGCTGGTTTGAATATATGTTCGACGTTGGAGAATTTGTGCAACTCATCTTCTCCCAATTCTGTATTGATACAGACTTCGATGAAGTCACCACTGAGAATGTCTTCACCTGTGGGCATATCCACAACAATTAAATGAACGACACAATAGTTGTGAAATTCATTAGTAGGAAATACTGTTGCAGGCGTATTATATGAGGGGAAAAATGTTTTTTCTTCCCCAAATTCATCTGCTACTTCATCTTCATCGTATCCGTTGTTAAAAGCTTTAAATTCATGTACAATTTGAGCAAATTGTTGACGGAGATTTGGTGGCATACGTAAGCAAGCTTGTAACAATGTCCTACCTTCCACACACTCAGCAAATATGGGAAGGTAGGAACATATAATGTCCGTCAATTGGTCCTGGTTGGGGACCAATTGACAGAGTTTTGTGTATGCCGTTATTGTTTCTTTAACGGTATTTGTGTAGATACGGTTATATGGAGTATTTCCCTGTTGTTAAGGGAAAAATACTCATCCGATTGTAATTTCAATCTTGACCTCAACTCTTTGTTCGGTATTCTTTGGTCTATTCTTAGAGCTGTATTTGTTCGTGCGGGCTGTGGTTTTAAAACATTCGAGTCAAGTTTTAATTGCTTCGAATTGGATGTCGATTTGAATTGGGAGTCTTTTGAGTTCTCCTGAGCTTGGTTCTGTATTAAAGACTGAATAGCAGTGTCAGCTTCTTGTTTTTCGAGATAGTATTCTATTGAATTGGGCTTCACTGTTCGAGACGCGTACATTATGAAAAATGAACTGTTTTTTCGGACCACTCATAGAAAAGTTTGAGATGAACCGTTTTCGTCAACGGTAACCCCCTCTATTTTTTTATTTTATTTAATAGTTACCGTTGGAAAACCGTTCCATCTCAAATATTGAATGAACTATAAACGTTTTTTGTTTTCTATATATGCTTTTTTGTCCAACGGTAAAACTTTTTGCACAACGGTTTTTGAGAGTCATCGCCGTTGACCGAGTAGTTTTTTGTGCTGAACAAAAAGTGTCATATAAACATCTGTCAAAAACCGTTTTTTACTTCACTTAAAATGCCACGTAAGCTACGTAAGAATATACGTAAGAGGAAGGGAACATTGAAACATCCAATAGTAAAACTGACACCACAACAACAGTTGCAACAACAAATTATGAATGACCCCACTATGTTGCAACAAATGTCAAGCAACTCTATGCTTTTAAACCGAGTTATTGGTGCACAGAGTGGAGGTTTAAGAGCGGCACTTTTAGCGAAAATGGCAGGCTATGGTGGAGCTGCAGACGGAACAGCTTATAACCCTCAAAGTCAAATGAATTTGAGTTCACTCAAAAATCAAATAACATATGTCAAAAAGTCAAACATAGACATACAGAAACAAATAAGTGAAAACGAAAAGAAACTAGAATATGACAGACACACAAAGAAACTCAATGAGTTAAACGTAGAGAAAAAGAAGAAAGAAGAACAACTGAAAGAACTAAGTACAGAGGAATATGCGAAAAAAGTGTCAGAAAAAGCAGCAGAAGTAGCAAAAATGGAACAAGATGTTATAAATTTGAAAAACCATACTACTCAATATAAAGTACTGAAAGATGAAGAAATAAAACAAAAAGCCCTGAAGACATATATGGATAGCGATGAGTATAAAAAAGAAGTTGAAGCAAATGTAAAGGCAGAAAAACTTTTACAGTTGCAAAACCAAACCGTACAGTATGAAAACTTAGCACAAGAAAGTAAAAATAACGACGCAGCCATGCAAAAGGCAATGAAAAGCGCAGAATATATAAAAGCTAATAATGACTGGTTAGATGCCCAAGCCAACGCCAAAGCAGCCCAACTTATAGGGTCAATAAGGACAAAAATACAAGCGGATGAAGACAGTTCAAATGAAGCTTTAATGAATGCTGACTTTAAGAACGCCTTCGAAGCTCTTCATAGTAAGGTGAAACTAGTGAACGACTTCTCATCTGGAAAGAAACTGAAGTCTGAAGGTTTCGACAAAGAGTTAAGAGAAGTAGCACAAAATATGACGAAAATAACAGATGCAGCAACGAGACAGGCAGTTCAAAGTGCCTATGACGCCGTTAGAGCAACTGTTGTGGAAAGTCAAGAAAAAGAGTTACAACAGACCAAAACAGACCTAGTAAATGCTTTCTTAAAAACGAAAAGTCAGGTAGGACATTATGCTGCAGATGGAACATATGTGCCAGCTGGTGGAACTTATATACCAGCTGGTGGAACTTATATACTAGCTAGTGGAACTTATATACCACCAAACCCTCCAAGAGAAGCACCTGCACCAGGACTACCTAAAACATTTACATCGTCACATGGACACAGACACAGGCATGCACCAAAACCAACACAACAACCAACAGTTCAAAATCCAGCACAACAACCAACAGTTCAAAACACTGCACCACAACCAACAGTTCAAAACACTGCACCACAACCAACAGTTCAAAACACTGCACCACAACCAACAGTTCAAAACACTGCACCACAACCAACAGTTCAAAACACTGCACCACAACCAACAGTTCAAAACCCTGCACAACAACAACCACAAACAGAGCAAGGACATAAAAGAAGTAGAGAACAAGGAAACCAAGAATTCTTAAAAATGCTTAAGGAAAATTATGGTTACCCAGATACTCTTGACTTTAGTGACAGATATAAAGAAGCTATTAGAAAGTTCAAGGAAGGAAATACTGACCCGAACCTATTTAGCTTTATGGTTCAGCACCAAATGGGATATAATTTCAAAACCTGGAAAATACAAGCTCGCTAAGGGATATGATTTAATAGCATATCATCCAAATGACATGAATGAATTTACTCCGAGATATTTGGTGTCAGAGATAAATGATAATTCAACTCTCTTCATGAAACGCGTAAAAAATAGAGACGGAACGAAAGAAGAAAGGGTTATGAATGCGGATGGCTTAAATAGGGAACTTGTTAAAAACGGTCTCGGAATATATGAAATGCCAGCAGATGAGGTACAAGAAACTCCACAGGAAGAAGTTCAGATACAACCAGACATGGAAGAAATAGTTCAGCAACAACAGCTAGAAGAGCCTGAAGGAAACGAACAAGTCCCTCCTTTGGAAACTAACTTCACAGAACTAGATGAAGATTTGGAACAGCCGAAAAATCTTGACCCTCAACAAGTGTATGCGGAGAATATGGAATCTTTCCAAGAGTCTAAGAAAAATTCAGCTGACATAGTAGAAGAATATCGAAAAATGTTCGCCGACATACAAAAGACTCCAACATCAGATGAAAATATTCAGCATAGAATGGAAGTACTGAAAGAAAATGTACGCAAATACAATAACCCTTTTTACTTACGACCATATAACGTTCAATCTTTGGCTGAACTCGGTGAAAATAAAAGGTTAAATTTCAACAAAACATATAGAAATGAAACATTGTTTAAAGTTCATTCAGAACCTAACCAATATGGAAACAAACCTACTTTTGTTTCTGCAGACTATGGAACTACAATGAGATGGGGTCATAAAGCTAATCCGGATAGGTGGTTCATAAACTTACAACCACAATTCCAAGAAGTTGTAGACGCAATGGAAGTGAATGGTGAACCAGATATAACGGGTATTTTCAGCGCGGCTTTAATGCCATTGAAAGATATGAAAGATGCAGATATTTTGGACCAGTATGAAATGAACATGGCTGAGGAAATATAACACCTGACGTTCTAGAACATTTATCTCAAAGAACTACACAGAACCATAGAGATGGTATATTTGGTGAAGAGTTTAGAAAGAAAGTTAGGGAGAGAGAAGGAAGAGAACCTATTGTACATGACCTTGCAAACGAAAGTTTGCAAAATGTCATAAAAACTTACTTTGCAGACAATGAACTGAGAAGGGATGAATATTTAAGAAAACTCAAATGGACAGTACCAAATGAAATGTTAGTATTGAAAAACATGTTCCTTGACAAAATAAAACCAACTACAGAAATAAATGACGCAAGACTGAAACATTGGGTAAAAGCTTTCCCATTCACAAAAGATATTATTGGTTACATGGAAAGAAAACCAGAATGGCTACAAAAACATATATTTGGAAACGAGCTTATTCCATATGGACAAGCTCTGTTTGAAGAGCTTGAACCGGAAACTCAGGAAAGAGTCATGCAAACAATAAGCGAAGACTCAAATACAAACTATGACAAAATCTTTCTAGGATATTGGTTACCTGAGATGGGCGACCAGAGCCCAAAGGCAAAAAGGACATGGGAAATTTACAACATACTAGGTGAACATGAGGCAAAGATGCAACAACTTGAAGCAGAGGGCAAGTTACCAAAAGCGACACCAAAGAAGAAGAGTAGAACAAAGTGAAAGTAGTGAAGAAAGTAACTTCATCTAGTGAAAGTAGTGGCAATGAAGGAAAAAGAAGAGTTAAAAACTCAGTCAGGAAGAAAGTAAAGCTTGGTACGAGTGGGTTCTATTATGATATATAAATCCAACTATTCTATATTTTTACCCATATGAAATGTACGCCGCTCAGAATATAACGCCAACAGTTTTGGATGCTATGAACGGAAATGTTTCCGAATGGTATAACGAATGCGACAATGCCATTAGAAGGTCAGAAATAGTTCCTGGAACTTACGAATATACAACTGCTGTTTCTTATGGAAACGTAGGTGAGTTTGGTGAAGGTTCTTCAACAACAGTAGATATTGCTTGCGACAGGTTTCATATTATTTCTATTGACAACTCATTCTTATACGTGGAACAAGACATTGAAATAAAACCTTCTGCCAAGTTGTCTGACAAGAAAGGTTGCAATGGAATTTTCTATGTCGGATACCAATATGCTCCAGAAGTTTTCATGGGATATAAGATATATTCTAACTCTGACTTAGTTCAAACAGTAACATGGGCAAACTATGAATGGTTCGCTTTGAGAAACTCAGTACAACCACAAGCTAGAGAACAAACAGACCAGTATGCAAATATTGAGAAAATAAGAAGACTTGACCCTAACGTTCCAGGAGTTTATGTTAACCTTTCTGGTTCAGATGGAAATGCTGCCACTAAAGTAAAACTGAAACTTAGAGTTCCTTTGTCATCTTTCCTCATCTTCAGGTTTTTAAGATACTTGCCAAACTGGGCAGGAAAAATTTCTATTGAACTTACTCCAAGCAAAAATAACTTAGTCATTGCACCAACACAAGACCCATTCACTATTACAGACGTAAAGGGAACAAATCAAACGTCATTCGCCGAATTTTGCAAAGACAAAGTTGACTTAGACTTTGGTTTCTCAAACTTCAACAATGAAGTAAACTATTATTTCAATGCTGCTGGAACTGCTTGGGACCCAGTTAAGTTTACATGCGAAAAGTTTGAATGCAAGAGAATAGAAAGCAGACTTGCAGTCTATATGTTGGACCCAGATATTTCAAATGCTTTAGCTGCCAAATATATTGCAGTTCCACTTATGTTCCCTATACACCAAATATCTGTCAAAGACTTTGCAGGTGAAGTTGGAAACCAAAGTGCTGACCCAGGTGCAAGAACAGATATTGCTTTAACAACTGCAATGAAACATGCAGATACTATGTTTGTACTGTTCAGACGAACTATAAATGACTATTCTTGTTTCTACAACCCCGGTATTAAATATCATATAAACATAGATGGCAAATATTATCCAAGAGAAGAATATTCTACAGTTGAGGATATGAGGTCATACAACTTGACATTAGATGCTATGAACTTTAACAACAACTTCACAACAACCATTAACCCTGAAATGCAAAGTTCTATTATGCCATATGTGAAAGTATGGACTCATACAGGAGGTCAAAAAACTCAATATACAAATGGAGACCGTTCAAACTTTTGGCTTGGCATTCCATTTGCTGACTCAGAAGACTTTATGGGTGGTATTTCAACTGTTGGTACTGTACAAATACAATATACTGGTGACAGAGACGGTCCAGATGAATTGAAAGCAAAGAAGTTTACAAAACCAATAGCACTTTTCACGGAAGATGCTCTTTTGAAGATTCGTTCGATGAAACCTGCTGGGGCTCCTCAGATTGGCATAACGACAGCTTCCATCGAGCAGATTTTGGCAGCAGGTCAGTAAGTTGTTCTTGAACTGACTTCTCTCCGTCAAATATTGACAGTACGCCAGTTTTGACATAATATTGTATTATATAAACTTTCCTTTAGTAAATATCTGTAAGTTTTGAAGTTATATTTTTGTCTGCTTCAAGAACTTTCACCATTTCAGTTATACCAACTTTCTTTGCTTTATGAAAATATTTTGGTTCAGCAAATATTGCTATTCTATAACATTTACCATTGTTTGTATAAAGAACTATTCTGTCAATGTATTTGTATTGTTTGTGTGTGTAAACTTTGTTTTGCTTCAATTCGAAGAGATACTCGAATACGTCCATCTTTTTATTCTAAGTAAAATGTCATTTCCGAAAAATAGAAGCGTGAGTGTTTCAAAAGGTTTAATGGCGGTGGCAGATGTGAAGTTAAATTCACCAACTCAAACAAACAGTCAAAGTGTTGTTGTCAATGTCAAAGACAGAGATGTTGAAGTGGGGAAACCATACGAGGACGAAGATGGTATAGCAATTGTTCCTGTAAAAGAACAACCAACATATCCTGAAGTTAGCAGAGACTTAAGTTCTGTTGCAGATATTCGAAATGACCAACAACTTAAAGACAAACTTCAAACTCAGGAGAAGATTTGTCAAGCTTTAGGTATAATGTTAAACTTGGTCGAACACAACCCTGTAAAAGTGAACTCATATGTCATTGCACCTCATGAAGTTTTGAAAGAACTATTGAAACTTTTGACAGAGGCAGACGATATAAACATCAAAGAAATAGAACCCGACATTAGTTGCTGTGGTGTTTCATATAATGTCATTGACAAGATATACGTTATGAAAGGAGGTGAAACGTTGAACTTAAAGTATAGTTTCCCAGACGTCATAAAAATATTTGACGACCACAACATTTCATTAAAATTTATTTGCTAAGTAAAAATGTCAAAACTTCTTGAAAGATGTTTGAAGAAAAATAATATAGACTTTATTTCATGTAAAGGACTTTACACACTTTTGAACGATATGAAAGACCCTGTTTTGTTTGTTCGTGTAGACAAAGGAAAGTTCTATGTCTTTACAAAATATTTGAACTTCTTAGACAGAGAACTTCAAGAAACGCCATGTGAAAGTTTAGATGAAGTTCTTCTCCACTTTCAGAAAAACTTTTAAATATATATAAATGGCAGAAGATATAATGGTTTATACTATTACGACTAAAAACCCTGAGTCATATAATTCTATAACAACAAACTTACAAAGTCCTCAAGGACGGTATTGTAAACTAACTTTAAACACAATGACGACTAAAGCCTGTTTTGCTCTTTTGACACCAGAAGACTTTATTGTTGTGAATGGTAAAAAATACTCCTTTGAAGATACTTACTCAGATATACCACCAACAGGTTTTGTTGACTTATTTAATACTTTAAGTACGGGTGTAACATGTGCTGCAACTAGAGCAGGTTTCATTATGTTTGGATGTCCGACTGAGTTTACTATAAACGATATGAGCTATAATACAAAACTTATATCTGGTTTTTACTACCAACAGTTTCCTATAACAGGAAAAGGTGTCATACAAGGAATGTCTATTCCATTGACATTAAGCACACCAATCTTATATATTGTTTCAAACTTAGGTTCAAAGTGTTATTCGAATGTCGACAGAAACTATTATGACCAAAAGATACTTATGCGTATAAACAATACTTTCTCTGCTGGTTTGCCTATTGTTCATTCGAATGCAGAATTTTCAACCTTAGTGAACTCAAACACTTTGGCAAGTATAACGTTGACATTAGTTGACGCAAACTTTGTTCCTGTAAAACTTTTATGTCCTATGTATTTGTCAATGACGGCAGAAAGTTTCGAATTGGAAGATGCAACTGGTGAAAGTATTGTATTACAAGAACAACTTCAACAACAAATAGCTCAAGAACAACAAATGCAACAAATGCAACAACAAAGTCAAGAATAAAAAAAATTTTTTTTTTATTTTTATAAAAATGTACAGAATAGATGTTTCAGATTTTTATGACTTCCAAGCATTCAGAAATATGTGTCCATTTCGAGACTATAACAAAGCAGTCGAGAATTTGAAACGTTTAGTCATTTATGTCGACTCTGCCCCAGAATGTTATGTTATGAAAGAATGGGATGTAGTCTTTAACAAACCTAAAGCGACAATAGTGTCTGAACAAGAATGTAGACAGAAACTTAAGAAAATAAAAGTTGTACAAGTTGGAATGAAGATGTTAGATGCTTGGGATATCTTATTGTCAAAGTTAGAAGATTTTTCAGTTCGAGGTATAAAGTTCTATACACCTTCTCCAAACTTCTATTCTATCTTCACTGGATATAAATATGAACAAGTAGAATGGAAAGAAAATATTATAGAAGCTTGGTTAGACCATGTCAAAGAAATTATATGCAATGGAAACGAAAGAGTCTATGAGTATATCTTATGTTGGTTTGCAAACATCTTACAACATCCAAGTGCTAAAAATGAAACTGCTCTCATTATAATTGGAAAACAAGGAACTGGTAAGAATACTTTCTTTACAGATATTTTGTGCAAACTGTTAGAGGGCTATTCGAATCCGAATATGACAAACTTAGAAAACATCTGTGGCAAGTTTAACTCCTCAATAGAGAATATGAAACTTATAGTTTGCAATGAACTTCAAAGTATAGATACAACAAAAGTTTTAAACTCAGATGCTTTGAAGAGTCTTATAACAGATAAAGTTGGAGTTGTTGAAAGAAAATATAAAGACCAAAGAGTTTGTGAAAATGTTGCAAACTTCATTATGGTTTCAAACAATGCTGTTCCGATGAAGTTAGAAAGTTCTGACAGAAGATATGTAGTTGTCAGAACGTCAGATTCTCATATGCAAGATACAGAATATTTTGACGCTTTGTCAGAATGTTTGACATCTGACTTTTACAACCACTTGTTCTCATATTTTATGACATTAGATATTTCTAAGTTCAATCCAAGACAAATTCCACATACCGAAGAGAGACAAACATTGTTAGAAGCAAACAAGAGTGTATATGAACTGTTCATAGATGAAACTGACTTTGTGTCATTAGATGAAAGGTCATTGTACGATTCGTATAAACAATATTGTCAAGAATATGGTTATATGACAGCGTCTAAACGAACATTCTTGGCAAATGTCAAAAGTCTTTTAGATGTTCAGAATGGTGTATATACAAAGAAAAATTTTTATGAGTAAATTTTAAAAAAAATATTTTTTTTTATCCGATAGAAAAGATGACAAAATATATTTCAGTAAACAAGTACATGTCAGGACTTAAAGAAGAACTAGACCCATTCACATATTTGAATGTTTACTTCTACCATTTTGAAAAGTCTTCATTCAGCAAAGTTTGGAACATCGAACCAGTTAAGTTTGCTATTGTGACTAAAAATGGTGCGAAATTTGAAGACTTAGACATAGAAGGTTTGTTAGCAGTCAAAGAAAGTTTTGACAGAAGGTTCTCAAACCTTAAAGAAGGCAAAGCATACAAACTTGTTATACCTTATGAACCAAAGAAAGCAGACGACTATGAATATTATGAGTCTAAGATAGTTGAAGTTCAAGGTAAATTGGGTAAAAAGATTTTAGAGTCTAAGCCAGTGTTTACTCCTAAAGAGGAAGAGAACATTGACATTGACCCAGAAATGTTCTAAAAATAAAAGTTTATTTTTACATGTCAAATTTCTTTTTCTCTGGAACTGGTTCAGATTCTTTCTTCTCTTCTACTTTTTTCTCTTTCTTTTCTCTCTTCTTCTTTTCTGGTGGAGTTATGTCAAATTTCTCCGAACCATATTTCTGTAAAAGTTCTTTGTCCTTTAATAGCTCATCTATTCTGTTTTCTATTTCATCTTCAAGAACAGCGCATGTGTCTTCTTTGCATTCTAAGAAGTTTTGTTGGACTTCATCTTTCCAATCGGCGTCATCTCTGTCAACAAGTCTGTCATTGACAAATTTTAAGACTGCTCTTTGTAATGTTTTATGGTTCTTGTCATATTCCCAGAAACAGAACTTTAGAACAAATTCACCTTTCTTGTTTACACTATGTAAGATTTTATGGTCGACAGATGTTTTGCTGTCAAAAAGCTTGTCTCGAATATAGATAGCGAAATCGCTAGACATTTTCTAAAAGATAAAAATTTTAATTTTTCTAAAAATATGTTAGAAAAAAAGTTTGCTGACATTGACAAGAAATTTGAGAATGTTTTAAACAAGAACAAGAGGAAGTTAGAAAATGCTCAGATAAAGCCTATACATGACAAGTTCTTATTTGCTCAGAATGGTATAACAGGTCTAATTGCACCACCTGGGTCGGGTAAGACTTTCACTTATCTTAAAATGGCTGCACAACAACAAGAACTAGATGAGAAGAACCCATTCTATGAGTTAGTTGTTATTTGTAGTACTTCTGGTCAATTTGACCAAACCGTCAATTCGTTCAAAGATATTATAAAGAAGTCTAAGTTAGTATGTATAAAGGATACTGAGTTGTTAGATTGGATAAAGAAGTACCAAAGAAGAGTTTTGAAGTATAATGCTATAAATGAGTATATAAATTCTAAGTTTAAAGACCCAAATGAGGAAATGCAGAGAATATTAGAGAAGAAACACTTCAGAAACAAACAGAAAGAGATAGAATACATTTCGAAGAAATTGCAATCTTACGATTGGAAGACATACCCTCATAGATGTCTTCTTATCTTAGATGATTTCGCCTCTCATCCTTTGTTAAAGAACAGAGAACAAGACATGTGTCGAATTCTTAAGAAGCTCAGACACTTTAACATCTCAGTCGTAATATGTGTACAGACAGCAAAGAGTTTAAGTAAGGATGTTAAAAGAATACTTACTGACATTATACTTTTCCCCGGATTGTCCGAAGACGATTTCATGGAACTTATGAAAGAGTCCATGGCAGGTAAGTTTGACAGACATGAACTATGGGAGAAGTACAAAGTCATACAAGACCCTCATACTTCTTTCAGAATTCATATCTACGCAAACAAAGTTCAAATTGTAAAAAGTCAAGCTTGAAAAATAAATGGTTCATTTACTCTGATTGTTTGAAGTTGTCAAAATACTCTGTTATTTTTTCCTTTAACAATGGCAAATCTTCTTTGAATGTAAGTATTGTACAACCTTTCATATCATAGTGTGTTTGAGGTAACGTATCTTGAACTATTTGTTTCACATCTTCATTCGGTGTCATTGAAATCGGTAAGTTTTCGCGATAGAACCAATTTCTGTCAGATTTGTAAATCTTAGCAAGGTCGTAAAAGCTTTTGTTGTTTCTTCTGACTAAATGCAACATAACCATATCTTTATCTTCTTCATTTTCCATCTCTTCAGTATAAATCATATACTTATAGTTCTTTTCCTTACCTTTTGGTACCGAACGTGGTATTCTTTTCTGAATGCTTTTGTCTTTTGCTTCAATGACTTCATTTTTTGCTTGAAGTTTCTTTTCCATCTCTTCACGTTCTTGTCTATGAATTTCGTCAAGAAGTCTGTAAATATACCAAGCATAACGAGGCGAAGCCCACATTGCAACAGCATTTACAAGAAGTCTATGTACATACCAACCTCTCAAACCATTTGGCAAATTTTTACGATTTTCATGAGTTTTAGGCGACCCCGAAAAAAGTCGGTCTCGCTGTGCTTCGCTCAAAAGTTCTTGTGTGCTTTGGTTTTTGAACCAATCGTCTGTATGTTTGGTATCTGGAGCAAAACATGCTGTCAAAATACTTTGCATTTGGTACATATCGTCTTTGACCGAACGAATGAGACGGAGTTGTTTGTTAAACTGTATGTACTCGTATTCTTCATTTATGGCTTCATGGACTATAACTGTTGTTGTGTTCTCTGTTGTTGACATATCTGTCTTTATATTCCGGATAAAAAAATAAATAAAAATAAAACTAACTTTATTTTTTATTTCGGGAAAATTCATGACAAATTCAAGAGGTGAGAAAAGAGGTGAAAAAACAGGTGAGATCTCACCACTTCACCTAAACATTATTTTTGCTGAAAAAGTGTCATTTTTTCATGTCCGAAGACTCGAAGGTGCAACACTTCCAAAATACCGACGAACTCAGAAGAGCAGCATGGCAGTATCTTCTTGACAACTTCTTTGAGTTCTCCAGGTACACCTTGGAAAATGCTGAAGAACTCCGACACAGAGAATTTGGAGAAATTGCACTCCAATACTACCTTGACAAACAAAGGGTAAACAAAGGGTAAATTAAGACTAAAAACTTAACGTTTAAAAAGTGACATTTTTATGAGCTCCGAGTCACCGAGAAAACTTGGTCAGATGTTAGCAGCTTACTTCCCTGAGGAGGATGGAAGCGTTACATACGTAAGGTTCAAAAACAACGAACCCGGAATTGCGTACAAAATTCGCAATTACATGACCATGGAAGAGTACGAAAGGTTCCTACAAGAGAAACCAGCTCTAAACAACTCAGAAAAGAAAGAATAAAAAGTTTAACTCGTAATTGTTTATTTTTTTACTTGTATGGGCAAGCTGCAAGAATGAAGTCGACTATCTCAGTCTTTGTTTTGACGAGCTGGACGGCTCTTGCGAGTACGTCTGTTTTGCGGTCTCCAGCTGGTGTCTGACCTTCGTAATTGCGCATGTTCTTGAGAGCTCCAACTGTAAATGATTGTAGGATGAAGAGTCTCTCAGACTGCTTGAGGTAGTCTTCACGGTCACGAACCGAATCTGTGGTACGAGTCGAATCGGTCGATTTGAGGGAAGAGACTGAAAGCCTGTCGTCTTCCATAGGGGCAGTAGCATACTCTTTGCGTAAGCGGTTCAGACCTTCTTCGAAGTCTTGGTCTCTCTTGGACTGAGATTGGAATTTGAATTGGGGTGGAGCTTGCTGGAACATCCAAGGGTTGGGGAAGTAAGGCATAGGCTGAGGAGGGTAGTTCGGGAAGCCTTGTAGTGGAAATTGGTAGTAACCTTGAGGTGGAAATTGGTAGTAATTTGGTGGAGGGACTTGCTGGAACTGAGGTTGCTGAGGAGACTGTTGTGGTTCTGCAGCTTTCGGTTCTTCTGGCTTTGGAAGGCGTTCAGGAAGAGGAACGTCAGTCATCCGTTTGTGTCCTGTCGGAAGGAAAAACTTTTCCTGTCGGAAGGAAGAACTTTTTCCTGAAGTTCGACCAAAAAGTTCTCAATTTTCGAAAATTTGAATGGTTTACGGACGGACAACTGGAAGAGTTCTTCCTGTCGGAAGGAAAAATTTTTCCCTTTGTCCGGAAAATTTTTCCAGTTGTCGGGAAAATATTTTCCTGTCGGATGGAAGGACTCGGAATGCCAGAAGGATTTGACGAGGCAATTTACCTATTGAATTAACGACTGCGTAAAAGACTACTTGCGCAAGGTAATGAAGCCCAAGGTCAAGTTCACCGCTATTTCTGGAAGGGCTGTCTTGAATCTCGAGACTTCGACTGGAATTCCAATTCAAATACCAGACGGGACAGCCTACGATGGCATAAAGGACGCCAAAAGAGAAGCTCTTGTTAAGTTCCTAAACAAACGTCCTTGGATAAAAATACCAAACAAGGAGAACCCCCTACCCCATATGAAATTGGCAATTCAGTCTCTCCTTCACTTCTCGGGTCAGCCGTTCTACATAACCTGTGAAGGCGACATCCAACCAGTTCTAAACCTTAACGTTTAGAGTAAAAACATTTTTTTCATTTTTTGAATGAAGCAAGTTAAATTCGTCCCACACCAATCTCAATGGACCGATGAAGAGTTTCAAGCCATAGTTGAAGACGTTGAGAACGACATAGACGGCGAACTTGAAGGAGCTCAAATCACAATTGCAACCAAAATTGCAGAGTCAAGGAACAGATAGCTCCACTTAAAGCTACCAAAGCTACTCTTGACCTCATGGATAGTTACCGTTTAGATGTCAAGAGTGGAATAAGACAATTAAAATTAAAACTTCTAAACTACGAAGCTATACTCCAAAAGTTAGCAGAAATGAGAAGACTTTACCAGAGCTACTTACATGTAAGGGACTTACCTTCAAGCAGTCCGACCAAAGATGAATTTGTTGACATTGTCCCAATTTTGTCCGAAAGTCAGCTCAGATGTTTCGAACTGCTCCCAACATATCCAGAATATGAACGTTTGCCTGAACTCTTTCGGTTCCTCAAAAAACGTTTTTTGGTTCTCATGTTCGAAACTTTTATCGGAAGAGACAACAAACGTTCAGAAGAAGAACAAGATATTATTTTAAACTTGTTGTATGACATAACTGTCATAACAAGCTTTTTGAAGTAAAACCGCCATTCTCAAACCACTTCATTTTTCGATGTCCGAACAAGCACCGAAGCCAAACTCAATGGCAGATGTCCTTTCAAGGTTGCCAGACAAGCGCCCAGTTCAACTTCAAATTGCCCAATTGAAAGCTCATCTGACAAACACCATTAAGACTCTCCAAAGTAGTCTTATGACAGAGATGACCAATCTCAAAGCCAATGTCCTCACGAACCAAGCTTCCAATGAGAAAGTCCTGAACGATTTCGCGGAAACCTTGCGCCAATACGACATAGAGAACCGAACCTTGCCGACTCATCTACCGTTTCTTCGAAGAGATAGACGCCATCTGGAAGGTACTCGGAAAGGACAGAACATGCAACACCGTACTTCGTGAACACAGAATTGCCGAAGGTATTATCAAAGAAGAGGAAGAAGAGGAAGAAGAGGAAGAAGAGAAACACGAAGAAGGAAGGTTTGGGCAACCCTTGTTGCCGATGACGCTTACGAAATTTCCCAACCCTACCCATACCAAATCCGCAACAAGGAGACAGGCAAGGTTCTTACCCCAGTCCTCAACAACTTGGGACACTTGAACCTTAACCTTCGGAATTACGGTTCAATTCCATGGGAAGCTTGTCGCAATTCAATGGGTTCCAAATCCACAAGAAGACGAGGGTCAGACACATTGACGGTGACAAGCTCAACAACCGTAAGGAGAACCTCGAGTGGTTCTAAGAGTAAAAAAATTTTATTTTAGGGGGAAACCCCAAGTAAATTTAGGTGTTTATTTGGATAAGTATGTTAAATTAAGGGTAATTTGCAAAATTAGTTCCCGACCTTTGAATTGGGCTCTTTCGTTATCCCAGTTGCGTAGGAGGTCGTCCCAGAGGAGTTGTAGAATTGCCAATCCAAGGACGATTTGTCCTCCCAGGCATTGAGGATGTACTGCTCGTAGAGTTTCATGACCTCTGCCTTGCACCAGACACCCTCTCCCTTGGAACGTAAGGCTTCTTCGAAGTGCTCGAATGCGATTGGCTGCGTGACCATCCGAAATGACACTTTTTGTCCGTTTGGTCAATGTTTGTGTCTCGTGCCATAGTCGACGAAAATACAGACAAACAGGTTATATATGAGTTTGAGACCAAGAATGGTGTAACTCGACCTGTCCGATTCAAAGACTCCGAGGGCGACCATGAAATTAAACGGAAATTAGCTAGGAAGGAATATAAAATGGACTGGTTGCCACCACCTCCACCTCCACCACCTTTACCTGTTCCTCAAGTAAATAAGCCTTTCCCGTTCCCAAGAATTCCCACATTTTAATTCAAATTCGAATAAAAATTTTTTATTTCATGCAATGTTTTATTTCTGTGCCGTCTTCAAGTATGCCCCAGTACTTACGCTTGGAGAGGACATGAACTTCGGTGAAAATTTTGTCCAATTTGAATTGACCCATCTTTTCACCGACCATTCCCATTTCAATGAGTTTGTTGTATCCTTCTTCGTTCGTCATGAGTGCGTCAATGTTCTCATAGTAAACCACACTTTGGATTTGACTTCGGAGAAGAATTTGTTGTAGTTGTCAAGGACTGCCTTTGCGAACTGAGGGTAAGACCAATGTTCGACAATAGGTTTTAATGTGGTTACTAAGCCACTTTGACCTTGAGTGAATTCGTACTTCAAAACAAAAGGAGAAAACCTTTCAACAAAGTTGTCGACCTTCTCATAATGTTTACTCTTCATCTCTTGAGGTTTCTTAATGGAATATCCCCATGTCGAATTCATAAGCAATTTGAGTGTCATTGCAAGTTTGGGGTTTGAAGCTTTCCTAATATCATACAGTTGTTGTATGACTTTTCCAACTGTATAGTTCCTTCCCGGGAACTCACCATCTTCGTTTGGAATTCCAGTCGGAATATATTGGACAAACCTCATGTATGCAGCGTTAAGGTCGACATAGTATATCTTTTCATCTGAGTCGAACTTGTCGCAACCAATTGGTCCAGTTTGTGGAAATTCAAGTGAGTCTCTTATCTTCTGAGAAACTTCTCCTGTTATCTCATAAACATCGTCGAAGCAACCTGTTTCATATAAAACCTTCTGACCTAACTCAGATGCTCTCCAATACAATTTGACGTCAATTGGATGTCTCAATGGAAGTTTGTTTATAGCATCTTGAAGTTCTTGCAACCTCATTGGAAGTTCTTCTGGTTCAGGTTGGTATCCGAACAATCCAACTCCTTGTGGAATTGTGTACTTCTTTTGTACTAGAACTTTGTCTGGAACAACTTTTGGTCTTGCTAACAGTGAAAAGTTTGTTTCGTCTTTTGGTACAAAAGTTTCTGTCAGCTTGTCATCTGGAATTGGTTCCAACAAACCTTTCTCGAAAAGAATGTTTACAGCTCTGACAATGTTGCACTTGCCTTTTCCGAACAATGGGTTTGTAAGACTTTCGTTCAACATGAAGTGGTTGTGGACAATTACAATCTTCAACCATGGTAAATTGTCAACAACATAGTCGTCATGTGAAGAACCTTTAGCTGTAGGTATGTTGACTCGGATATTGACATTTGCCAACGGTGCAATTTTTGCCAATTGACCTCTGAGAATGTACCTTGTCTTCACACATGACTCAAGATACTTCATCTTCTCATCTGTAACAAGACCAGAGTTCCTGAGACATGTAAGAATGCAAGGTTCATTGACAATTGTTTCAATTGAATTGTAAATTCCATACCTTGTCAAGTCAATGTCAGACTTATTTATGAACGGGAAGTATCCAGCATGTTGTCTGACTGCTTGAGGGTTAGGTTGGTACCATTCGAACTTGACACTTGCAATTCCTTCAATTGCATTCAAAATGTCTGAGTCGGAGTCAACCATTTGTTCTCTCTTTGTAGTCTTGAAAGCGTCAAGAAGTTTTGCAGCTGTTTGTTCATTGCCATTTGCATAGTAAATGTGACCATCCAAATCTGTTATGGTCAATCTGAGATTGTCCTTTCTTATTTCCGTCTTGTATGCAGCAAGTACTCCCATGAAGCCTTCTTTGTTCTTTCCTTCGTCAAAGTTTACTGTAAAGGTTCGACCAGATGTAATTTGACTTCTAACTTCACGATACTTTTCATATGCATATCTTGTTCTTTCCATGGGAGCATGACCATCCTCTGCACTACCTTTTTTCCTTCTCAAAGGATGCAATTGTTCGTCATGTTTCCAGTAGAATCTGGCAAAGCCGTCGTGTCCTTCAACTTGAGGTTCACTAACATCGAAAGGCATGTCCATAAGACGTTCTTCTTCTAACCTCTCTAGTCTGTTTGGATAATTGGCACGTGCTGTTTCCAAATCCATTTCGTAGCAGACCAGCCAGTTTGTCATAGACTTTTATGGGTCTTCCCTTCCTATATTTAAACTTCTTCGAAACTCTCCAACCATATCTTTGCAACTCTGCTTTTATTCTAGCAGACTTTCTATCCATTCTATATGGGGGCATTTTTATAAAAATAAAAAAATATTTTTTTCTTTACTTACATAACCGCCTGCTGCCATAAGTCTTTGACGCCAACCCATACCAGCTAATGAAGGTTGACTTGGTTTAGTTTGGAAACTAAACTTTGGTTTTGGTTTATCTTCAGTTTTTGGTTTTTCTTCTTCTATCGGTTTTTCGTCACTTTTCGGTTCCTCTGACTTTACTCACCTGCAGGAACAGTTGTGTCGTCAACATCTTCATAAATATCATATGCCATTTGTTTTTGTTTTCCTTTCAACTTTTTGTGTTTGTTGTAAAGTTTAGAATATTTCGACTCTAAGTCAATGAGATGTTCTATAATGAACTGTTGGTCAGTGAAGTAAACTTTTCCATCTGTTGTCTCGAAAGCTCCTTCAGACTTCAATATTTTATTTGTGAGAGTCTGTTTCTTTTTTGAGATACTAGCCGTTCCATTTCTATGAAAAGTGACTTTGTAGTTAGGGTTTGTATTTCCAGACCTGGCACTTTCTATTATTGAATTTTTCTCTTCATCTGTAAGTTCTTTGACAGGTTTTGACAATGGTTCTGAACTTTTTGTTTGTGGTGTCAAATCTACCGTTTCAACTTCTTCGGTCATTTCATCTCAGTAAAAAATTTTAGTTTGGTTTGTTTTCAACTGGTTGTTGTTTTTTAAGTCGGTCTAAAACTTCCTGAGGTATAGGAAGAACTTGACAAACACGTTGTGTAACTGCTGGAAGCCGACAAATCCATCTTGAACCCATTTGTCTCAATGCTGTATTGTTCATTTCATCTCAGTAAAAAACTTTACATTCCCAAGTTTGAGGTGGTTGCGGTTGGTTATTGTTTACCCATTGTTGTGCATGGTTATATCCTCTGTTAAAGAATCTTTCACCTTGGTCCATATAGTGTCCTGCTTGGTTATAGTAGTCATTTGCTTTGTTATAATAGTTTCCTGCTTGTCTTCCTACATTGTCCATCCATCCTTGAACTTTTCCTCTTGTTTCAGGATTTGGAATAAGATTTGCATCTCGTGCTACATCCCAACCTTTCTGTACAGTTTGTATAATAGGTTGTGCTTTCTCTTTAAGTATACCTAATGTACTCAAAATCTTCCTTCCAACTCCAAATACACCTCTGGCTATTGTTCCCACTGGGGCAAAAATCTGGATGCAACTCCTGCTAATGCCCAAATAAACCCATTTCTTATGGGTTAAAAAAATCGAATCCAAACAAGGACCCCTATGTTTCTAAAGCGACAAAGAAAGCACTCATGATAAAAATCTTAGTTCAACACCAAATGCTTGGTTTATGGATATCTTGGAAAACATTCCGAGAGTTAGAACAGATGGACCACCATACTGGCTAATATTTGTTGGTCAAAACACAAGATACTGTGAAGCCATACATTACAGTCCAAAGCTATTTAGATATCTTAGCAGCTTTGACAATATTCGTTGACAAATACATCCAACAAAACTGAACATCTGACTGTGAAAGTTTCAAATCAGATGATGTAAAAACTATCTGCGTTCAAAAAATGTAAACAATATTTCATTGTCGACCAAACCATTCTGCTCTTGGTGTCATTGACGGTTGTATAAAAATGTTAAGACTTAAACCAACCACAAGGTGGTGAAGCAAATGAAATGTCATATGACGACAAATATAGACACTTCTCCATGGCAAAGATGAGACAAGTTTTAAATATTTACAATAGCCGTAAACAAAAAGGTTTGGGAAACTCCTCCGAAGAAATGAAAAACAACCCTGACTTAGAGAAAGACTATATATTTAATAATTTAGTCAAAAGAGACAAACAAGAAAGAATGCCGGGCTTCAAACTTCAGAAGAGTGACAAAGTAAAAATAGAAATACTAAACGCGACCCATATGAAAATACTATTGACTATGACAACAATGGAACCCGACAGGTACTCACATTCGTGTTCGTAAAAATAGAAGAAAGTATACAAGAGAATATTATGAAGTTTTAGGCAAACATGGCAAAATGTACAGACTGCAAGCAGAAGATAAAACTACTATTGTCAGACCTCGTGTTCAAACTTGTCAAAGTTCAAGGTGGTATACTTTCAAAGACAGTTTCTAACAAATATAAGACAACTCCTGACGAATATGCTAAAGAAGTTGAAAATGACGACTAAAAGCATTTCTATACCATGCGTAAACTGTCATGTAAGGTGGCATGTAGTCTTTACTTTGTCCCGTTGTTTGCGTATATCCTGAAACGCGATGTGTATGGTTTCCTCCTCCCTCAGTGTTACTCCAGTAACAATCTATAGCAAACTTAACGTCGTCTTTAACATCATATCCTTTACCTTTTGTCATTGCTGCCCAATCCCAATATCTATGCTTATGCCAACCTGCTTGAGATGTTACTTAAATCTATGTAGTGACTGTGTGCAGGTAAATTTTCACTGAAATCGTTTTACTTCCACCTGTTTCCTTTGAAGAGTTTGCACAATACAAAAACCTGTCGACTATTTGAGTCCAAGTTCCAAACCAAGTACTACTTCTGGTCTGGTAGAGTTCATTGACGTATAAATAGAGCCTATAGGATATAATGTTTGAAGTATTTCTGTCTTTAATGTTTGAAGCTCTGTTTTGTCTGCTTTCTTGTCATATAAATCTTGAGCAGTGAATTTAATATTATGTTCATCCTTCATGACATAAACATCTTTACATCTAATGTTTTTCATCGTCGTTATGTCGTCATCCGATGTTAAACCTTGTGGAAAGTTAGGAGGTTTACAATATATTGCATCCCCACCAGTTTCTTCAACCGTTCCTTCATACTTCTATAGCAACAGTTGTAAAATTGTATGTGTATGGTTCTTGTCTGCTTTCTTCTCTAACTCATCGTTAACATAAGTTTTTATCTGCTTTAAGGTCTAAACATCCTGAAACCATCCTGTATCGGCTTTAGTTTTTAAAATCTTCGATGTCCGTTCATGGTACCAGTCAACCCTTTCTATAATTTCTTTATCTTTTTCATCCACATATTCCTTATCCGCCTTCTTCACTAACACACTAGCCATAAGTCCCTTATCTACCTTATTTTCAAGGCTAACGTTTAAGTCTGTTATTTCAGATATAGAAATGTGTATGAGTCTTTTTAGAATATTCGTTTTCAGCTCTTGTCACTTTCACTTGACATTTTATTGTCAACATATGTTTTGTCTGCTAGTTCAGGATGAGTATGTTCTTTTGTTGCATAAGCATTGTTAGCTCTTTCTTCTTCTTTTGCTATTGCATTCGTCTACATATTCTTGTCAGCTTTGTTGTCAACATCTGCTTTCAAAAAAGTTCATTTATAGGTTTCTCGTTTAAAAGTTCCTTTTGTTGGATTTATACAGACAGTATTGTTCTTCTTGTCTTGAAACAGAAACCATCTGTCATTGGGTTTAATGTCAGTTTTTAAGTTTCCTTCTTTCAATGACTCAGATATCTTAGAATAGTTTGAAAAGTTTGTTGTGTTTCTTATTTAGAGCTTGCATAATGAGTTGTCGGTTGTGTTGTATTTCTCTCATGGAAGCAATATCTTTCGACATTTTTATTCTAGATAAAATATGCTTCCAATAGAAAAAGAAAATTCAAGAGTTGCTACAACTAAACCATTAGATGAACTTTTTACTAATGTCGGTCAAAAGTTTGAGACAGAGACCGTAAAGCATGAAGGCTATCGTTTTGACTACCATTAAGATGGCTAAAGAGACCCATCTGTCACAAAAGCTATTGGCTTTCGTAGAATGAAGTTTGTGTCTGTAGAAGATAAAAGTTTTCCATTTATTGTAAGGTTTCATATAGATTATATATCTGAAGGGAAACGAAAAATGTGGGAAGAAATTGAGCTAATACAAGTTGACCTTTCATCTTCTCTACAGACTGCGTTAAAAAATATAGAAGAATAAAATAAATTCATGTTATGCAAAATATGCTGATGAATATGCAAATACCGAGAGCACACTTTATGTGAGAATTGTATATGACAAACAAAATTCACAAGTGTCATTTCAATCTACGAAGACAATCCAAAGAAAGACGAACAAATATATACAGAATTCACTGCAATGTCATGGTATTATTTGCAAAGAATGTTAAATCAAAACGAACTTCCTTTAGCAAATATTTACAGTCGATATGCAAGAGATGAACCATATTTATTTAAAGATGTTTTCGACCCAGCTGCTATTATTGTTCATGCTTCATTTTCTGGCGCCCAAAACTCTTTCTTATGCTTGGCAAATGACTTTTACGAAAAACCTACAAAGTTATACGAACCACCAAGTGGAAGTATTTCAGACTTTCAAGTATGGTTTACTACAGATGGAAGAAAAAGAATAATTCCATTATACCATGTGTTTTACTTAGAACTTAGTTTCATATACAACTACTATCGAACGGTAAAAATATAATTTTTTAATACGGTTGAGGTGTTGGATTTGGTTGCCAACTAGACTGTGGTGCAGGTTCAGGCTGTTGTATAACAGGAGCTTGTTCTTCTGGTTCAGGGTCTTTAGGTATAATACAACGAACTGACCTACTCTTTTACCAATATTTTTGACTCCGTTCCAAATTCCTCTTCCTACGGTTTTTTATTCCATTCCATATACCTCTTCCAACATTTCGAAAGAAGTTTCCTATCTTACTGAAGAAACCCATTTTACTATATGTAAAAATCTAATGTCCGCCTAGTCTCTTACGTTTCCTGTTGAGTTCCATAGCATTCTTTAACTGGAGCTCATACATTCTGTTTCTCCTCTGGTAGAAAACATATTCTGGGTCAACTCCTGTGTTCGCGTCATCTGCATAAAGTTGTTTATATCCCACTTCAGGGTTTGTATAAAACTCTTTCCATCTCATATTTGCATACCATGGGGCAAACCTAACGCAGCGTCATTTGACATGGCAGTTTGCATTTGTACATCTGTTGGCACTTGACCATAGTTTGCCATTGCAGTTTGTATTCTAACTTCATTTGGAATATTCTCTGGGTTTGGTTGTCCAGGTTGCTGTGCATTCGCTAAGTTCTGTGCGTCCATTTAATATTAGATAAAAATATCTCTTACGAGTACATATGCTGAACATTTGCAGGCATTGGTTCATCTTCATATTCTCTGTACTTTTCTGCCACGTCAAATAAATAAATGACACAATGGAAAAAACCTAAAACAAGTAGTCCGATTTCAAACCACATTTACTTACTAATAAAATTTCTTTGTTATGACACTTTCTCCAGTTTATAGGTCCTCTCTCATATTCTATCTTGTCATATATAAACTCATAGTCATGTATGTCCTCTAACCATCTCATAACGGTTTCCAAACCACTTTTATCGGATGTAAAGTAAAAGCATGGATGGTTATGTATAACGTCTAAAGTTTCTAAAGAGTCTCTCAAAGTCCAGTCTACTTGGTATTGAAAATCCCATGTGTTATAGAACGGCGGGTCCACTATAAAGAAAACATTTTCCTTGTCTTTATATTTTTCATACAAATCTGTCCAATGACATCTCACAAACTCTATACCCTCAATATATTTTTCTATGTCCTCTTTGAAAACATTTGTATAGTTAAGATATAAAACTTTTGACATAAGTGTTTCAATGTCATGAACTCTTATAGAACCACTATATAATAGTCTAGCAGATATACTATCCCAGTCTATATATTCTGCTTTTTTCAAAACCTCTCTCACAATATTTTTCTTATCTAATGGTATACGTTCCATCTTACCTATAGGTATCTTTTCTTTTAACTCTTTCAATATATTGTTTGTGTCTGGAATATGTTTGAGACGGTTCATATAGTTGTCGAAGTCATTGCATATAATCTTTGAGTCTGGGAATATTATATGGCACAAATGGGATATATAGAAACTTCCACCAAACAAATCTACAAATGTTAGACCATTCGGTAGTTTCTTAAGTTCTCTCAATATAATATTTTTACATCTACTCTTATTTCCAAAGAACGGTAACGGTGGTTTTGTAAAATTCATTTATATATAATAATAAAAATGTTTTTTCCTGAAAAGTGACAGAAAAGTGACAAAACATGAAAACATATATAATTTGTGAAAAGCTCCTGGAAGACCCGTATATATAAGAACTTCATTTATAATAATCATCTTCAGGGCTAGAAGGCACGAAGTGCCTGGAAGCCCCACTACCTTTTTTTTTTTTTTACCAAAACTCCCTAGGAAATGTGTGTATCTAAACTTTGATACCGCTCCTAAAGATATTTGGAAGTATTTTTATAAAACTTTACCAAATTCAGAACCAATCAATGGCACAAACGTTTCAGCTATGTCAAAAAATAATGAATGCTTCATTTACAATTGCTATTTTCATGGGAACACAGATGATAGCATCATTACTTTTAAAATTAATAATAACAAAATGCTTATCTCAGATTGTTTATTTTATGAATGTAGTTCGACAAATTATGTTGGTGGAGCTATAAACTTTAAATGTGATAGTTCAATTATTCAGTACAGAACGTGTGGCTACAAATCAAAAGCGAATTCTGATACAGCGCATCATGCATATATTTATTTACCACCTAGTTCGACTAATATAAACTACCTTTATGCAAGTTCTTTTCTTGATTGCGGAGATTTGAATTACATGGAAACAAATTTTATTGGTTACGGAAAAATTAGAGTTAAATCAATTAATACTAGTTCCTGCACAGCAAGAAAAAACGCAGGAATAAATATTGTTGGCCCAACTAATATTGGCATCATAACATATTCAACATTTTCTCAAAACAAAGCAAATGATCAAATTGTAGTTTTTTTTCGGGTTTTAAACATCATATGCATAATTGTAATATTTTGAATAATACATGCACAACCAATGATGTAAATCATAGAGGAACATGTTATTCATATCAAGCAACTGTTCTAATTGATCATTGTTCATTTTTTGGAAACTCGCCAACTAAACGAGAATTTTCTACATATAATTTCTCTACGCCCAGTTCAATTACAGTCAAAGAATGTTTCTTTGATAGAGAAAATAAAGAAGGTCCGATTACATCTGGATCGATCACATTTGAGAATATTTCTAGTGAATATTCGATTAATCAACTTCCTCATTTTTCCACAAACAAATGTGAAGCTGAATATCCTATGTTGAACGATCTTACTCTGACAAATGGCAAAGCAGTTTATCACCGAGTTGTTCCCTTCATTACTGCCTGTTTTATTTCCATCAAAAAGTAAAACAATGATTATCAAAAAGATTGATGCAATTGATCCAAGTGAACTTGACATCCTCTATTCGGAAGTTCTTAACCAAGAGCCATTCAACTCAAAGAACTGTTTGTTTATCGCACAATTCTTGAATTACGCGATTTGTGAAACTAAAGTTGTTGATGTGAAATCTATGGTTTCTACATTGTCTATCATTTCCGCTCTTCCTATTTCTAACATTGACAAGGGCAATGGCATTTCTGCATCAGCATCGACAAGTCTTGAAGAAATGAACACAGACATGCATCCACTCGAGAAATCATCAAGACTGAAGCGAAAATGAGTTTCGATGAACCTCCAAGTTTCTAAGATTTGTACAGTTTCAACTTAACTATATATTCAAACGAACAAGACGAACAACAGATCATCTCAGCATTCAAAAATGCACGAACTTGGGCCATCCTTTCTATGATGAATCATTTGCATAAGAGTGAGACTGAATCATCCGGCAATACTTGCGTTGTGCATGTGAAATTAAAGACTTGCAAGTCAATTTGAGTACTATTCTTGATTCATTTTGTTCTTGGTCCTCTGTTTGCCCATCTTTCACATTTTGTTGGATCACACTTATTTCAGACAGTAGATTCATTTATACACTTCTTTGTAACAACGAAGGATGGAGTGATTATTGTGTTTTATTATCTGATTTCGTTGTTACAGTTGGTTCTATCAACACGAATAGTGAATCATTCAGTAAGATATACAATTCATTACTTCGTCTTGTTTTAGTTTTACTTCACGATTTCAACAATTTCGTTGTTGGTTGTTGTGATGTTTTGATTGATGTTTCTCCGATTCATTTGACACAATTAAGAAACATATTTTTATCTCTACAACCGAATGAAAACGTATCTAAGATTCAAATTCAATTCGACAAAACAGTCAATTTCACAGACATCATGAACAACATTTTCAATGATAATTCATATGATGAAAATGTTCTAAAACAGATTTTTCCACAAGTCAACAGTCTTAAAGAGAGTGTCATTTTTGTTAGTTTCCTTTTGTCGAATATGCCAAACTTGCAACAGTTAAAGACGAACACGACAACAGACGAGATCAAAGTTTGTTTGTCTTTCATCAGTGTTCTTAATCTTTGCCAAACACCAGAACAGCGTACTATGATATGTAACTCTGTTTTAGACCAAGTTCGAAGTGAAAACACTAAATAATCTATTGGTGCATCTAAAATGATCCTTTATGTCATTGTTTCACAAGATGCAGAAAGAAACAACTTCCCTGTTAAAGATGTTCTTATTAAAGTTATCGCACAGAGAATTTCGACACCTGCACCTCATCCACAACAACTTCAATATTTAGTTAGAGACATTTTGTCACAACACGCTTTCTGGTCTCTCCCTTCTATCAAGATGAATTCCTCTGTTGTCAACTTCTTCATGGCTGCTAAACAAGCATTCCAAAAGAAATAAAAATAAAATAAAAATATCATATTTTGAATTTCTACTCTAAATTTCATCTTTTCTTTTCTTTCAATTTCTTTCTTCATAAAAAAGAGAGATCTAGCTTTTATAGTATCAGTAATATGAAGATTTGTTATATTCAGAAATATGGGACATAAGGAATTATGGTAAAACAATTTATATTAAGAGTTGCAAGATAAAAAAATACATATTTGTCACTTTTTGACTTTTCTTGATTGGTTTCAAGAGATTCCAATCAAGAAAATCACTTATCAAATGATTAAAATACGCAAACAAAGAATAATCTCTATCATGATGAATCTCCAACAGAGGTTTGGGAACAGTTTTATGAAACAACTCCAAACACAGAACCTCTCAGTGGTCCAAATGTTAAAGCAGAAACTACATCAAATGAATGTTTTCTCTATGATTGCATGTTTATTACTATTACAACTAATAGTGCCATTTATTTTGAAAAATCAAACAATAAATTTCTTAACTCATATTGTTCATTTGATAACTGCAGCAGTAATACAGATGGTGGATCTATCTACTTTAATTGTGATAGTTCCATTGTCCAATATCGAACATGTGGCTACAAATCAAAAACAAACTCTGAATATGGACATCATTCATCTGTTGAATTAGTTGATAAATCAAATAATAAAAATTATCTTTATGAAAGTTCTTTTTATGAATGCGGAAATTTAGAAAAAAATGTGGACAAATTATCTTCAATATGGAAATATTGAAGTTAAATCACTCAACACAAGTTTCTATGAAGCCAGCTATTACTCAGGGATTCTTCTAAATACACCAACTAGAATAGGTAACGTAACATTTTCGTCATTTTGTAGTTCCACATCATCTAATTCAATTTTAGGTCTAAATATTAAAAACTACACTTTTAAATTTTGTAATGTTTTGAATAATCATCAAACAAATGATGATTCTATTACATTTTGTGCTTTTGGTGCAACTGTTCAGATTGAAAACTGCTCATTTCTTGAAAATGCAGGACCAAGAGTAGAATTTTATCAATCTATTTATGAAGGATATGATGGTTCAATTACAGTTAAAAATTCATTCTGTGACAAAATTGATAAAACATATGGATTAGTTATTACAAATAATGTTAAAAATATATGTTCTATTTATTATCTTTCTCACTTTTCAACATATCTCTGTGAAACAGGTTTTCCTATTTTATGCATAAAGAATAATATTATTACAAATTATGAAGAAACTTATCTTCCTTCATCTAAATTTATTTTTATTTTTTTGTATCATTTGTTTAAAAGAATAAAAATAAACAATCTTAATGTATTAATTTTTCTCATCATATCAATGCTTTTGAAATTTATAAATAACTTGTTTTGACTACATTCAATTTCGTACATTTTATAGAAGATTAATCAATAGAAAGAATCATTCAATTCGATGAACCAGTATTTAATTCATTTATTCAGGCATATATCATCATTCCAGATTCACCGTGTTACAAGAAACATCCAGAGATCTTGTTAAAGCAGCTATTGCAAAGACAGCATATATACATATGAAGAGTGAATCAAAAAAAATAGCATCAAAGGTAGCAGCAGCAACAGAGTTGATTTCACGAGATATTTTTGGAAGTGAATACATCCGAGATATCGCTAAAGATTTCACTAAACAATTATGTGCATGATTAACACTTCTCATAGCTCCTATGCGTATTTCTCATCTATTGCTTAAGGCTCCAGTCCCACCCTTTCAATTTTTAAAATTGAATATATCCGTCAATAAGAGTTTTCATGACTTATAATTAAAGATATTATATTAGTGTAATATAAGCTATAATATTATAATGATGTAGGGTGTAGCATTGCTAGAACGTTATTTGTAAATTTCACTATTATCAACTTTGAACGACATAATTCGTCCTATAAACAAAAGGACTCTGTCATGTTGTAGGATATTAGTATAGTATATTATTTATATTAGTAAACATGACTTTTACTTCTCCCTGATTGAGTTATTTTTTCAACAAAGAAAAATGAAAAAGTTACTTTTTTACAAAATCTAATAATAAGTGATCCATAATTTTATTATTAATAAACATGTTACTACATATAATTTAGATATATCTAAACATTGAATAGCATTAGCTTCTTTCGATTTTTATCAAAGTAAATAAAATTACCGCATGAAAAAAATTGACATATTTTGACAAAGAAGGAAAAACTTTTAGTTCCGCTCTGTCACTTTGTTAGAATGCTATTGATGTTTATTATTATGTCTTAGTTTAATTTTATATATAAATGAGAAATGAGGAATTAGATTCGCAATACCATCACGAAAATAGCATTTTTAAAAGCTTTTAATTCTGTATGAGATAAATAGATATGAAAAGTAAAATCTGATATGAATATAATTTAATATGAACTATTATATTATAGTTGAGATTGCTTGTCAAAACGGTTTTTTGACAAGTCAGTATTCAATTTTTCAAAAGTATATTCAAAAAATTGAATGATATCTCAACGTATAAGAAAAAACTTTTAGTTCCACTCTGTCACTTTGTTAGAAAAATTATATAGTTTCTATTGACACTATCATTATACCCAGCTGTGAAAGGTATATTGAGGAATTAGGTTTGCAAGATTGTAATTTTTGTTATTTTTTTCCAAATTGAGAGGATTTTTGACGATAGAGTTGGACAATTTTTGAATAACAATTTCATTACCTTAAGCATTATAAAAATTTGAACAAATTTTATGACGTAATAGTATAAGTTATAATTTATTAATTTCCAAAAGAAATGACCAAAAAATTCCTTTCCAATATGTTGAATCAAATCGATTTTATAAATAAAATTTAAACATTAAACTTGATTTTTATAAAAGTGACATTTATCTACTTTCAATAACTTAATCCCAAGGTAAGAAGCTAATCCAATCATATAAAAATGTTATAATTAACCACATGTTTATTCATTTATGATATCATTATGCTTCAAAATCTATAATTATAAAATTCAAATTATCAATTATCAAAAAATCTTTATTTGTCATATATCAAATAGAAAAGTTAACATATATCATATTTCAAACTATAATGTAATAGACCTTCAACCGACCTAGTTGATCCACAGGAATTAAGGAAAAGACGACGAAGCCGCTAAGCGGCTCAGATGGACTCAGAGAGTCCTCATAAAAATAAAGTTAATTTTAAAAATATTTTTTATTTTTTACTTTTAATAAAATGAGTACTAAAATTACTGAAGCAACAAAACAAAAGTTTTTAGTTGAATACATTAAATCAGGAACTATTCCAGAAGGTTTTTATGTTTATCAAATGAAAGATGGTAGAGTTCAATTTAGAAAAATTAAGCAGCCATTAAATAAAGATGGAATATTAAGAAAGATTAAATTATATGAAGATAATATAGCAGAACTGAAGAAGAAATTAGAAGAATTCGAAAAATCAGATTAGATATAAAATTTTATTTTTATATAAAATGAATTTTACTAATAAATTATTAATTATCGTTTCATTACTTCTCATCTCCCGTGAAGCTCGTTTATGGTATGAATCTATAAAAGAGTTTGAAGACAGCAGCGATGACATTCCTGAATCATGCCAGCATATTTACTGTTAAAATTCACAAGGTTAGAAATGAGGTTAGATATCGGGTTAGATCTACCCTAAGCCGCGTAGCGGCGAGACCCAAAGGGTCTAAATTAATTTTATCATTTATGAAAAATTTAGTATATACAGAAATTAAAAAATTTTTGAGTTAATTTATTTTTAAAAAAATTATTTTTTTTACTCTGGGTGTTAAAATCTATGATAAAAAAAATAAATAAAAAAATTTTAACGTTAATTTTTTAAAGTTTATTTTTTAAAAAATATTTTTTATTTTGAGTAGTGTCAAAAATATTAACGTTAATTTTTAAGTTTATTTTTAAAAAAATTTTTTATTTTGTGAAGTGTCAAAAAATTTAACGTTAATTTTTAAGTTTATTTTTTAAAAAATATTTTTTTATTTTTGTAAATGTCAAAATATTTTACGTGTCACACGGTTTTTTGCAGATTCTAGTAATTTGAGTACTAAGGGGCGTAGACCCTTGGTACCCAATTACTAGATACTAACTACCGTTGGGAAAAATTGAATACCCGAGGTTCAGCATACATATAAAAATGAAAGACTTAGAGCCTAGGGTTAAGCAGGAAGATAGAGGGTACATATGAGATTATCCTCAGTAACTCTCAGGCAAATCTGAGTTTTTGGTCAGATATATAAGATTATTGTGAACGAAAAATTATCTAATATAGGCCTAATTGTCATGTGCACATATAGACATATGTATATATTATATGTTTCTTGTGTTATTATAGGTTAAATCCATATTTTGATATGTGAGATAAATTATATCTTAACACAGAAATCGTTTTTTTATATTATCACAGTAGATATGAGGGGTACTATATGAGTTATAATATATATTATTAGGAATAAGTATATAGATCCAAAATAATGGGAATGCATAATTTATGGCGAACTCAAAACATTTATTTTTATATTATGAGGTTATAAAATTGTTTTATTCATATATTATATGTGCTCTGTGCTATTGAAATGTGCTTAAAATGATTCTGCACGCGCAATCACAAAGCAAAACTTCGTAGCGAGCAACAGTTTGTGCAAGGACAGGGAATTTATATTTTTATCCTTACATAAACTTATAATGTGGTTAAAATGTTCGGTTTGCTCTCACATTTGTTCCGCACTGTGACATCGTGAACAAAGTTTCCGATCTGAGTGCATATATGCAGGGTCTTTCCATGGCACCCTGCATACATGTACTCAGATCGGGAATATTGTCCACTTTTGTTCCACGATGTGACATCGTGAACAAAGTTTCCGATCTGAGTGCATATATGCAGAGTCTTTCCATGGCACCCTGCATACATGTACTCAGATAAGAAATTTGCTTAATTGTTTGACATGAATGTCACATTCGAAAATCGTTTCTCGAAAGGAGTTTACAATTACAATATATTGTCCTATTGTATTGTAATTGTAAACTCCTTTCGAGAAAAGCTTTCACTTTGTGGCACGAATATCACATTCGAAAATCGTTTCTCGAAAGGAGTTTACAATTACAATATATTGTCCTATTGTATTGTAATTGTAAACTCCTTAGTTCGATTCCTTCATTTTATTAAATTATAAATATACAATTCTTTCTAATCTTCCTTTTTCATAATTCATTTCTCATTTAAATTCTAAATAATCTAACTCTACTAATCTAGATTTTTTCTAATATCAATTTTTCATATACAAACTCTTATTTTTTCTCAAAATCTTCCTTCCAACTCCAAATACACCTCTGGCTATTGTTCCCACTGCGGGTAAAAATCTAGATGCGACTCCTGCTAATGCGCCAAATAAACCCATTTCTTATAGGGTAAAAAATGACGAATCCGAACAAGGACCCCTATGTTTCTAAAGCGACAAAGAAAGCACTCATGATAAAAATCTTTAGTTCAACACCAAATGCTTGGTTTATGGATATCTTGGAAAACATTCCGAGGTATAGAGAAGATGGACCACCATACTGGTTAATATTTGTTGGTCAAAACACAAGATACTGTGAAGCCATACCATTACAGTCCAAAGCTATTTTAGATATCTTAGCAGCTTTGACAATATTCGTTGACAAATACCATCCAACAAAACTGACATCTGACTGTGAAAGTTCTTTCAAATCAGATGATATTAAAAACTATCTGCGTTCCAAAAATGTAAACCAATATTTCATTGTCGACCAAAACCATTCTGCTCTTGGTGTCATTGACGGATGTATAAAAATGTTAAGAGACTTAAACCAACCACAAGGTGGTGAAGCAAATGAAATGTCATATGACGACAAATATAGACACTTCTCCCAGGCAAAGATGAGACAAGTTTTAAATATTTACAATAACCGTAAACAAAAAAGTTTGGGAAACCACTCCCCCGAAGAAATGAAAAACAACCCTGACTTAGAGAAAGACTATATATTTAATAATTTAGTCAAAAGAGACAAACAAGAAAGAATGCCGGACTTCAAACTTCAGAAAGGTGATAAAGTAAAAATAGAAATACCTAAACGCGACCCATATGAAAATACTATTGACTATGACAACAATGGGAACTCGACAGGTACTCACATTCGTGTTCGTAAAAATAGAAGAAAGTATACAAGAGAATATTATGAAGTTTTAGGCAAACATGGCAAAATGTACACACTGCAAGCAGAAGATAAAACTACTATTGTCAGACCTCGTTTCAAACTTGTCAAAGTTCAAGGTGGTATACTTTCAAAGACAGTTCCTAACAAATATAAGACAACTCCTGACGAATATGCTAAAGAAGTTGAAAATGACTACTAAGCAATTCTATACCATGCGTAAACTGTCATGTAAGGTGGCATGTATTCTTTACTTTGTCCCGTTGTTTGCGTATATCCTGAAACGAAATGTGTATGGTTTCCTTCTCCCTGAGTGTTATTCCAGTAACAATTTATAGCAAACTTAACGTCGTCTTTAACATCATATCCTTTACCTTTTGTCATTCCTGACCAATCCCAATATCTATGCTTATGCCAACCTGCTTGAGATGTACTTAAATCTATGTAGTGACTGTGTGCAGGTAAATTTTCACCTGAAATCGTTTTACTTCCACCTGTTTCCTTTGAAGAGTTTGCACAATACAAAAACCTGTCGACTATTTGTTCCCATGCACCAACACCAAACATTACTTGAGGACCTCTTGCATCCATAGATGTATAAATAGAACCTACTGGGTTCATTAAATCAAACATATGAGATATTATAGGATTGTCTCTTTTGAACTTAAAATATAGTGCAACTATTTCAGGTTTCTTCTGGTTTGTGTCAGAATATTTTTTATAATATAATCTTATGTTTTCAGGGTAGGTAAAATCTTGACTATAATATTTATTTCTGTCATCTGTATAATAATATACTATTCTCGTTTTTTCTATTGCATTATATCTTTTATATCTATAATAATCTAAATATAATGTTAGCTTTTGTTCATCTACATGTGGTGTTCTGTCGTCATCTCCATAGTCATAATAATGTGGTGCCGGAGCTGGGTCAGGTAATATCATATCCACCATTTCATAAACTCTTAAATATTTCTTTTGTTCGTCTCCATATAAGTTTAAGTAGCAGTTGTTGTCTAATGGAACTTTAACTTGTGTACCATCATTCTTTTTATAGCTTACATACATTTCATTGTTATTTTTCGGAATGAGTTTATACCGTGTACCATTTTCTAAGGACTGTACCAACTGCCATCTAAAATATTTATTTTCTTCATTGACAGAAAAGTCACCAACAATAGTTTCAATATTTTTTGTTCCTATCAAACTTTGGTATATTTCATTGACATATGTTTTATCTGCTTTATTTTCAAGGCTAACGTTTAAGTCTGTTATTTCAGAAGATGTATGTGTATGTCCAACGTCACTTTTCCTGTTTAAGGTTTCTTGTAAGTTTGTAATATTTGCAATGGTATGTGTATGTCCAACGTCACTTTTCCTGTTTAAGGTTTCTTGTAAGTTTGTAATATTTGCAATGGTATGTGTATGTCCAACGTCACTTTTCCTGTTTAAGGTTTCTTGTAAGTTTGTAATATTTGCAATGGTATGTGTATGTCCAACGTCACTTTTCCTGTTTAAGGTTTCTTGTAAGTTTGTAATATTTGCAATGGTATGTGTATGTCCAACGTCACTTTTCCTGTTTAAGGTTTCTTGTAAGTTTGTAATATTTGCAATGGTATGTGTATGTCCAACGTCACTTTTCCTGTTTAAGGTTTCTTGTAAGTTTGTAATATCAGATATAGAATGTGTATGAGTCTTATCTGCTTTTGTCTCTAATGTTTCCTTAAGACTTGGTATTTGGTTAATATAATGTATATGAGTCTTTTTAGAATATTCGTTTTCAGCTCTTGTCACTTCACTTGACATTTTATTGTCAACATATGTTTTGTCTGCTAGTTCAGGATGAGTATGTTCTTTTGTTGCATAAGCATTGTTAGCTCTTTCTTCTTCTTTTGCTATTGCATCGTCTACATATTCTTTGTCAGCTTTGTTGTCAACATCTGCTTTCAAAAGAAGTTCATTTATAGGTTTCTCGTTTAAAGTTCCTTTTGTTGGATTTATACAGACAGTATTGTTCTTATTGTCTTGAAATAGAAACTCATCTGCTATAGGGTTTAATGTCAGTTTTAAGTCACCCCCTTTCAATGACTCAGATATCTTAGAATAGTTTGAAAAGTTTGTTGTGTTCTTATTTAGAGCTTGCATAATGAGTTGTCGGTTGTGTTGTATTTCTCTCATAGACGCTGTTTCATTTGACATTTTTATTATAGATAAAATATGCTTCCAATAGAAAAAGAAAATTCTAGAGTTGCTACAACTAAACCATTAGATGAACTTTTTACTAATGTCGGTCAAAAGTTTGACTTAGATACTATAAAGCATGAAGGCTATCGTTTTGACTACCCATTAAGATGGTTAAGAGACCCATCTGTCACAAAAGCTATTGGCTTTCGAAGAATAAAGTTTGTGTCTGTAGAAGATAAAAGTTTTCCATTTATTGTAAGGTTTCATATAGATTATACATCTGAAGGGCAACGAAAAATGTGGGAAGAAATTGAGCTAATACAAGTTGACCTCTCATCTTCTCTACAGACTGCATTAAAAAATATAGAAGATAAAATAAATTCATGTTATGCAAAATATGCTGATGAATATGCGAATACCGATAGCACACTTTATGTGAGAATTGTATATGACAAACAAAATTCACAAGTGTCATTTCAAATCTACGAAGACAATCCAAATAAAGACGAACAAATATATACAGAATTCACTGCAATGTCATGGTATTATTTGCAAAGAATGTTAAATCAGAAAGTTGAACCTCTTTTAGCAAATATCTACAGTCGATATGCAAGAGATGAACCATATTTATTTAAAGATGTTTTCGACCCAGCTGCTATTATTGTTCATGCTTCATTTTCTGGCGCCCAAAACTCTTTCTTATGCTTGGCAAATGACTTTTACGAAAAACCTACAAAGTTATACGAACCACCAAGTGGAAGTATTTCAGACTTTCAAGTATGGTTTACTACAGATGGAAGAAAAAGAATAATTCCATTATACCATGCGTTTTACTTAGAACTTAGTTTCATATACAACTACTATCGAACGATAAAAATATAATTTTTTAATACGGTTGAGGTGTTGGATTTGGTTGCCAACTAGACTGTGGTGCAGGTTCAGGCTGTTGTATTACAGGAGCTTGTTCTTCTGGTTCAGGGTCTTTAGGTAAGTTAGTATGGCTAAGTCGTGTACTGAGGCACTGCGCGCCTCCGTACACCACTTAACCTTAAATATTTACAAAACCATTAACGTATATTTTACAACACAAACGACAACACTAACTTAACATTAAATATTTACAAAGCCGCCAACCACTTCACTTCACTAACGTTTTCACAAACGACTTCACTAATGTAAAAAATAAACGTTCTCACTTACAAAAGTATTGCAACTCCTCCCATTGCTGTGCTTCACATAACAGCTCATAATCTTCTGACTCACTTTCTTCTTCATATAGGTCAAAATCACTGTCAAAATAAATGTTAGTAAGTTTTGACAAAGCTAATGAAACACGTTTACCGTTTGTATCGTATGCTTGTATAAACTTTCCATTCTTCATTCCTTCATAAACGCTCAAACTAACTTTACCCTTTCTCCCTCGTATCTGATAGAATGTATTTTCACGAGGAACGAAGAATAAATTCTTGAACTCATGACCGTTGTAGTTTGTTATCTCAATAGTTTTCGTCATTTATATAAAAATAAAATAAAAAATTATTTAAAAATAAACTTAAAAATTAATGATATCACCACCCTCACACGTATGAAAACATAGCGCAAAAATAAATTTAGGGTAGAAGGGTAGATCTAACCTCATTTCTACCCTCATTTCTAACCCTGTTGAATTCATTGCTTTATAACTCTCTTCCTTTCTCCAACTCTTCTAACTTCTTCCTAAGTTCAGCAATGTTGTCCTCATGTAATTTAATCTTTCTCAAAATTCCTTCTTTATCTAATGGTTGCTTTATCTTTCTAAACTGAACTCTACCATCCTTCATAGTATGAATGTAAAAACCTTCTGGAATAGTTCCTGATTTAATGTATTCTACCAAAAACTTTTGTTTCATTGCTTCAGTGACTTTATTTGTCATTTCAATCAAATAAAAATTTTAATATTAAATAAAAATAACGTTATTTTTCAGTAAGGAAACGCAGGAGTTTTACGATTTATTTGAGGAGTAGGTTCTGGTTTAAATGTTGGAGTCGGTTTAGGAGTTGACTTTTGAACAGGAGTTTGTACTTCCATAGGTTCAGGAGTCATTGAAGGTTTTGCTTGTGAAGGCATTGGAGTTTGTTTAACTTCAGCTACTTCAGTATTATTTACAACATTTGCTTTATTTCTTTTCAACATCATAACTGCTCCTGCTGTAGCTAGCAAACCTAGTGGGAGACCATATTTTATATAAAGACTTGACCAAATGCTATTTTTGACAGCAGCTGGTGGAACACCTAACCTTGGTGAGACTGCTCTTTGCCATTGTGCAGCTCGTAAGAAATATTCAATAGGTGCTCCATAATCGTTTGGTAAAGTTTGTTTCATAGATGGTGAAGGTTCACGAGAGCTTGATGAAGAACTCATTTATAAACTTTAAAAATAAACGTTCATCCTTTATTCCTCACTGTCGTCCGTAGCTAAGTTATAGTCATCTAATCTTATTATTGGGATTCCATTAGCACGCACCTGAATGGCAAAGCAACAATCCCTCATAAATCCAATAAGTGGCTTTGGTACATTTTCAGTTGCTAGTTCAATAGGTCCTTTAACAGACAATTTGTATGTTATTGGAGCAGTAGATGTTTGACCTTGCTGGAAGCAAAAGTCCACTTCTGTTGGAAAAACCACATAAGAAATGTGTGTTGTCATAGCTATCCCATTTATGTTCCACACTACCATCATCCACAATGACCTCATAACATCTTCATTAAATCCAATCATATCATTGTTTGTATTGCAAGCGTTCGCAACCATTTCATAAAATACAGGTCCATATGATTTTTCAGGTTCTGCAGGCATATTTTCCATAAGCTCCCATGGAAAGCTGAAGATATTTAAACTTAGGGTTCTCAAAATTAACATAATAGTTGTCTTTCTTTCTAAATAGTGCCCAAATACTTTTAACATTAATAGGCGTATAAGCTGCTGTAAATGTTGCACTTGAACTATCTGTATTCTTGAGAATGAACCGTCCATAGGAATCCAATCCATAACTTTAACAGGAAAACATAAAGCCTCGTTTGTATAATGTTCTACAAGTTCTGTATAAATGTTAGGGTCTAAAGAGAATGACTTTGGATGAATGAAACATTCATTAAAATCCATCTTTGTTCGAAATAGTTGCTGGGTTACAGTTGTAATAGTAACTGTTCCACTAGCTTCTATGCCTTCGTTATCATAGTGAATGGTTCATTCCATGGAACAAATTTATTTGTCGGTGGATTTGAATCTGAAGCAAATGCAACTTTAAGAGTTGGATTGAAAGCAATGATATCATTTATAGATATAGATGTGCATTGTAAGCGTCGCTACTGAACTTTACTTTAAGCTGAATGTTTCCTGCAAAAGCTGAATAAATCGAATAGCTTCTAATGGAAGGAATCTTCTAACAGGAATTCTTAAACGAAGCTTAAAATCAAATGACTTTCCTGCTGTAATTGGACCACTAACAATTTGTCCTGTTCTGCATGTTCCCGAATGACTCCATACATCTTCATGTCGAGTCTTTGAGAAAACATCTACTTTCTTTATTTGTTCGGTAGTTTGTGAGTTTGAAGTTATATATGCTTCTTCTCTTGCGTTGTCTTGAGAATATACGATACGACCATTTGCAAGGATTTGATATCCAGCAACTGCATAGAAAGCGTCATCGAAACCAATCCAAAATCCTGGTGGGTTTGTTTTATTGGAACCTGAACCAATTTCTTTATCTACAATAAATTGACCTTCCATTTTATACGTAATGAATGTTTATTGTAAAGGTCCAACATATTTTCCACCAGGAGGTGAGAGATTGAATGTTACCATGTGTTATCTTTAGCAGTTCCAGGTTGTGATGGAATCTTTGCGTCAGAATATTTTCTATTAGTGTCACCAATTTGAACTGCATTGTCTATGATATCGAAATATGAGCGAATCTGATGAATATGCTCTGCTGGAGTAAATTCGTTTAACTGTTCGTTCTGCATGTATTTACTTCGATAAAAATATCTATTTACTTCATTATTCTCACTCTTCTTCTTGGCATTCGTGGTGGAAGTTGTTTCTTGACATTTTCAATGAACTGTACATTCTCTTTTGTCTCAACTTCTTTCACTGGTGGGTCAGGATTCTTTGACTCGGTTTGTTTTCAATGAAATTCACGAACTTTGCAATAAGCTCTTGGTTCGTTATTGAAAGTACATCTGGCTTCTTTTCTTCTGGTTCTATTGACTTTTCAGTTTGAACAGAAGGTTTTATATGGGCTTCGTGGACTTCACCCTTGCCATACACCTTAATGTTGTCGCTTTCTGCATTCGCTAATGGAACCTTTCTTTTTCTTACGTATATTTTACCATCTTTACTCTGACTTACGTAATAGAAAGGATGTTGTATTCCTCTTGCGTCATTTAATATAATAGACTCTCGCTCTGATTTTGACAAGCTCATTTTACATCGGTTAAAGTTTTTAATTTTGTTTTTATCTGCAGTCAAATGACTCAGACAAGCCTACGGACAAGACCCAAGGGGTCATAGATGTTGAAGCATTGAAGAAAGAAATTCGTGAGCAAATTTTATCCGAACTGAAGGAACAAAAAACAAGAACAAAAGCCAGAGAGACCAAAGAGAAAACTTAGTGAAAAACAACTTGCTGCATTAGCTGCTGGAAGACAAAAGAACCCACGTTTGCTGGCGAAGAAAGCTAGAGAAGAAGCTGAAGCAAAAGCTAAAGAAGCTGAAGCAAAGAAAGAGTAAATGGTTTATTTTTATCCGAATTAAATGTATAGACAAATACCTTTAACTGTTGCGTTCAGTAGTGAAAACCCTGACGTCAAAATAAAGGGGAACAGAGTAACGTTTAAGTTTCCAACAGACTGGATTGTGAACATAAATGAAGAGAAGTACATTGGCATAACATCTATGTATATAACACGTGCTTTCAGAAAGGTTGACTTTATACTTCAAGTCGAGATAGAAAATGACGAACAGTCTTTAAGCGCCCAAAACATTCACATATACAAATACTTTAAAGACGATACAACATTGTTGCAATGTATGATTTCATTTAATGAGATGTTCGAGAAAAAGTTCAACATTGAAGTACAAACTTTACAGCCTTTACGTGAGTTTCTTGCACAACTGAAAGAAGAAGGTAGTCAGCCACAACTTATAGACTTTCATTATGAATTTAATGAAAATGAAGATGGAACTCATGACTGTCAGTTTGTTATATATTCACCATTCAATGAAGTAGCTAAAAGAAAGAAAATCCATTACGTATAAGATTTCAAATCTCTGAACCCAATGAAGACTTCAAGAATGTTTTCAATTATGATGCAATGCTTCCGAGGAAAAATGAATTTTCAAAGATTGTAACACCTGGCATTTGGGATAGAAAGCAAGCTATATTATATTCAAACTTAAGTAAGGGAGTTGAAAATGAGTTCATTGGTCATACAAGAACTTCACCATTCCAAATCCTAAATACTATAAATTAACTGGCTTCAATCGTGAGTTTTGGATAGACATGTTCTCCACTCATGACCATAACTGCCCAGTGTTCTTACCTCCAGACCATAAGGACTGTCTCTACATTGAAGCACAACTCTTAAACTCTACCATCGCAGTATTGTAAATGACCACATGGGCTTCGCCCTTGCGCTAGCGGCTTATTTTTATCACGAATGACCTCATTGCTGACAAAAATAAATGACCTTATTATTTTTCTCATTCATGACCTCAGAACTTAAGCTTTCTTATGAATGAAGTCTTAGTCTGAATAGAAAAGTTAAACTTTTCAGCAAAGCAAGGACTAGAAGACTTACATAAGTCAAATCCAATCTCTTGACCATCATGAAGTGCTTTGTAAAGTTTCATAACACTGAACTCAGAGTCTTTGTCAAATTTTCCTTGCGGAACCATTAAACCTTTATCTTCATCATAGCACTGAGAGTCAGGAAACATTTCATTAGCGGTTAAAGCAATAACATCTTGCTTCACGCCTTTCATTCTGCAGTGAAATGCAACTTCATTTAAATCATTCGTGAGTAAGTCTATGTAAGTCTTCTTTCCACAAAATATTGACTTGTATGCTAAACTTTGTTTTCCAGGTTTATTTCTGCAAAGTCGCTATGAAATTGACCAAGGTTTTTACCAATGAGAACTCTTCCATAACGTTTCTCAAACTCTTCAGCTAAACGAGGGATATCTTCATTGTAGAGATGCATACTGTCGTATCGCTATAAAAGATGTCCATTCCTAAGTCTTCAGCAGTACAGAATACTTCACACATTATTCTCTTCGACATAGATAGAATATTAACACCAAGTGGACAGAAGTTAAAGTGTCTGCAAATGCTTTTCGTTAGCTTGAAAATAGTTTTATCTGAACCATCCAAACCTTCGAACTTCACTATATGGTTGTAGTTTCTGATGGCATATCTTATAGCATCTTTGTCATTACTATGGTTATTTTTGACTCAATAGGAGATAGAATAGTTTTGCCATAAATACTGTTCAGAATGAGCTTTATATTTTCTTGCAAAGGATTTCCTTCTTTCTTATACTTTAACCTTAACTCAAACAACTTCTTTACTTCATCTCTTATTCTAATATCTCTGTTTCCATCGTAATAGTATCCTTGCAACACTTCACATTTGACACCTTGATATTTTATGAGGTCTTGTAATGTTATATGGTCAACATACATTAAACAGCAAGTGTTTGAACTTCTGGGAACGTTAAGTTCTGGATTTAGTTCAGGGTCACAAACTATTAAAGGAAAGTGTCTATGTATTCCAATCTCTGTTATCTTAATGAGAACAAAGAAGCCAGACATAAACTTTTCACCAATGGGTTCCTTTTGGTCGTCATCGAATAAATGTCTCATGAGATACTCTGTGCTTAACATCTTCATCCTTCAATACCTTTGGAATCCTTCTAAAGTATAAAGTCTTGCTATAGCTGATGGATATAATGAAACAGCGTCGAAGTCAGCAATGAGTTTCTTTTCGCTCTTTTGTTTCATGTTATCTGACAGCATACATCTTCCACCTTGAATACATCTGAAATAAATTCTCTTGGTTTATTTGAGAGGTCATATAAATTTCCATTCGGGAAGTACACTCTGTTCTCAAAAATTTGTTAGCAATTGAACAAATACTAACGTAGTCATAACGTTTAAATCAAATTCTTTCAATATGTCATTGCGGAACTTAACAAAACCTTCTCTTAAAATTCTTACATCTTGTTTGCAATAAAATGTGCTATATTTTTCTAAGTCGAAGTGGTTTTCATCTATTCTGCAACCTTTGATGGAATCTATGTTTTTCATGAATGTATCGCATCCTGGATAAACTTACATGCTTCAGAAATGACACCAGTTCTGTTGTCATTTGCTAACAAAACACTGCTGTAGTAGTTGTATGGAAATACTTCTTTCGGTCCTGTTTGTAAGTTAAACATAGCAGGAAATAGTTTAAGCTTCTTATTTATAACACTGTAAGAGTCTTTTATAATAATTGCCCTTCCTTTATATAAGCCAGTTATTTGCATTGTTCGTGAACCTTTAATGATGGGAGTTCCTTTCACTTCTGTCATGTGTCTTAAGATGAAGTTTATATCATAAACTGAGGTTATGGAAATTATTAAACTCTTGTCAGGAAGTCGCTCCAAAAATTCTGTTGCACAGTTCTGACCCCATTGCTTTCACTCACTGAACCATCTTCACTGTCGTAAAAGATGTTAAAAGCTTTATGAAAGCCGTCGTGCTACACTCAAAGTCAGCAAGAAAAAACGTGCTCAGGAATGAATTGCACTTATTTTTATTTACTTCTTTTGATCGGCTTCTTTCTTCAGTTGTACACAATACTTTGGAGCATATGTCAAATCTTTAAATGGTGCAAGGTTCTGTTTATATAAGTCAGTCGTATATGTGAAAGTTCTCCATAAGAAATAGGTTCGAAATATTTGCACTCCCACAATGTTTTCATAACATCCCATAGCGGTGTAGTTCTATCATGCGAACTACATATTTATCTTCTCTCTTTGTATAAATCTTCATCTGTTTCTCAATGTTCATTCCACCACACTCCTTCAAGATTCTATATAGTTGCGAATGAATAATGTTGTCATTGGAAGTTCTTTCATTTAGCATGTAGTGGTCTTCAACAAGAAGTAAGTCAATAGTTCGAACAGTTTCACATTCTTTTGTATGTATCTCTTTATTTCATTATGTCTTGAGTCATTGAAGTAACCAATGGTAACATTAAATGCTATACCTGTTGCGTCAGAAATTTCTTGTACTTTACTTTGAGGAAAGTCTCTAACACGAATGACTTCTCTCATGTGGTCAAAGTCTCTCCATCTACTCCAGCCTGAATGCAAGCATAAACGAAACAATTGTCTTCTGTCATAAGTGCTGCAGTTCTTTTGTTCAGTTCATTGAAGATTTGGTAGCGTTCAAGATTTATAGGTAATGTGCAAAGATACTTCCAGAACTGACCGCTTCTTTTCTTATAAAACTTCTTTTCACAAGGATTTCATTCCAGAAGTCATCTATAGTCTTGTTTATTCCTTTTGTTTAAGTCTGTTCAATAATTTTTTCTGTCTTTCTGTCAGTGTGCTTTCATCTCTATATGGTCTCTTTTTTGGTTTGCCTTTCTTTACATCTGACATCGTTAAGCCTTCATATTCTGTTAAATCATACATCTTTATTTCGGTAAGATTCTTTATGTTTGTCAAGAAGAAGTCATAGTGCATTTCAACAATACCTGCAGCATTTGCTTCTATCTCTGATATAAAGTTCTCCTTCAAGAGCTGATGTAGTAATGTTCCAATATTATTGAGGTTTAACGTAGAACATTCATACTTTCCACCAAGTTTATAACATACCATCCATCTTTGTTGGGAGTTTATTTTAATTTTCTCTAAGAGTCTCATGAAAACCTTACCAAAATGTTTGTGTAAGTAGTCTCTGTTTGGTTCATCTAAAGCTTCGATGTTAAAGTCAATGAGTCTATTGCCTGACTTCACATTTCTCTTCCTATTCTCTTCATCTTTCTTTAACCATCTCTCACCTTCTTTTGGTTTGTCGTCAATGGAACGAATGACATCGTTAGCTTTGCGAACTTGTTCTATAGCACTTTTAAATATCTCTCTTCTCTGTTGTTTCAGTGTGTCGTCTCTTCTTCTTGTTTCACCAACGTTTGCATTTGTTATGTCAAACATTTCTCTTCTTACTTCATGAGGTACTGAACGTCTATGATATAAGTCAATAGCAACGTCATTTAAAGGAAAAGTTCTTGCATGGACTTCGTCCTCGCCGCGTTGCGGCTTTATGAACTCATGAATTCTATCATAACTTATTGCACCATTATAGTCATTGAGGATGTCAGCGAGTGCTTTTTTGTTTGTCGCGTAATGTTTTGCAACATCTATGTTAGCTTCTGTAAGAAGTTGTTTTATTTCCGAGTGTTCTAACTTAGACAACTTCCGATACATCTTTAGTAGGAAATAAAAAAATATTTTTTTGAAAAAATTAGATTAGATTTTTTAAAGTTATTTTTCAAAATAATTTTAATATTTTTATTTTAATGAAACACATGCAAGATTGCAAGTTCTTTTCATACAATGCTCTCGCTACTGCCATCAAGAATGAGTTCAATAATGCTTCAAATGTTAATGTTATCTTTAACAAGAAGTTTGTGAAAGAATCTAAGTTTGGTCAGTATGTCAAACCATTAGCTATCGTCATTGACCGCAAACGTTATACTTCACAAGAGTTAGCAGTAGTTTTGAAACAAAAGAGTTTCTTCGTGAATGTCAAAGATACTCATTATACTGTCATAAAGAACTCTAACATTGACTTCTTCAGTATTGCTTTAAATCTTTCCGAACAGAAAGAATATAAGAAGGGTGAAACAAATGTGAAATATTATCCTTCATCTCTGAAGACAATAACGAACAAAGATGTCATACAAAAGTTCTTACCAAAGGTTGAAGAAGCTTCTATTGACATTGACGAAGAAAGTGAAATGGTTGAAGAAATAGACCCTGAAGCTATTTAAGCAAAAATATATTTTTGAAGAACTGAAGGTGTCACCACGTCACCATGTGTCACCAGGTTATTTAACTTCTTTTAAAAATGATGACAACATGACATTTTGACAACAGTCCAGGAAATAAATTTTATCGTTAATGTTTACGTTAATGTTTTTCATTAAATTTGTCAAAGTGCAAATCTTCACTTCGTCAAAAAGTTAATGTTTTTCATTAAATTTTGTCAAAGTGCAAATCTTCACTTCGTCAAAAAGTTAATGTTTTTCATTAAATTTTGTCAAAGTGCAAATCTTCACTTCGTCAAAAAGTTAATGTTTTTCATTAAATTTTGTCAAAGTGCAAATCTTCACTTCGTCAAAAAGTTAATGTTTTTCATTAAATTTTGTCAAAGTGCAAATCTTCACTTCGTCAAAAAGTTAATGTTTTTCATTAAATTTTGTCAAAGTGCAAATCTTCACTTCGTCAAAAAGTTAATGTTTTTCATTAAATTTTGTCAAAGTGCAAATCTTCACTTCGTCAAAAAGTTAATGTTTTTCATTAAATTTTGTCAAAGTGCAAATCTTCACTTCGTCAAAAAGTTAATGTTTTTGGTTAGTCTTCATATCGATATTTTACAACAGTTCCCCAATGTATAAACTTTTCATACGCTTTTTCATAAGCTTTATATACCTTCAGAAATTTTGCATAATCTTTAGAAGCATTTAGATATTGTTTAAATGCTTTATATACCTTCAGAAATTTTGCATAATCTTTTACATGTTGTTCGTTCTCTTCTTCTGTCATGAGTTCCGAATATTCTAAATTCATGTTCTTTCATATGAGATAAAATTTTATAAAAAAATAAAATTAGCTTAGATTTTTTTATTCTTCCTCTTTGAAGTTATCGAAATATTCTGTTATTTTTTCCTTCAGTAATGTTAAGTCTTCTTTGAATGTAAGTATTGTGCAACCTTTGATGTCATAGTGTGTTTGAGGAAGAGTATTTTTGACAATTTCTTTTATTTGCTCATTCGGTGTCATTGAAATCGGTAAGTTTTCACGATAGAACCAATTTCTGTCAGATTTGTAAATCTTAGCAAGGTCATAAAAGCTCTTGTTGTTTCTTCTGACTAAATGCAACATAACCATATCTCTATCTTCTTCTTTCTCCAACTCTTCAGTATATATCATATACTTATAACTCTTTTCCTTTCCTTTTGGTACTGAACGTGGTATTCTTTTCTGTATGCTTTTGTCTTTGGATTCAATGACTTCATCTTTTGCTTGAAGTTTCTTTTCCATCTCTCCACGTTCTGCTTTATATAGTTCATCTAACATCATGAAAATATAACAAGCATAACGAGGTGAAGCCCACATTGCTACAGCATTTACTAAAAGTCTATGAACATAATAACCTTTCAAACCAGGTGCCAAATTCTTGCGATTTTCGTACGGAATCTCTTCCCTCGGTTTTCCGAGGGAAGCAATCATATGAGGAAATTCTTCTAAAAGTTCTTTTGCCTGTTGGTTTTCAAACCAATGATATGCTTGCTTTGTAGAAAGAAGAGCGTTCATTATACTTTGCATTTGGTACATATCGTCTTTGACCGAACGAATGAGACGTAACTGTTTGTTATACTGTATGTATTCGTATTCTTCATTTATGGCTTCATGAACGATAGCAGTTGTTGTGTTCTCTGATGTTGACATTTCTGTCTTTACATACAAAATAAAAAAATAAATAAAAATAAAACTAACTTTATTTTTCTGTGATAAAGAAATGTTAAAAATTCATGGTTACATATGTGAAAAGAAGTCACGAACAAATGAAGGTCATAAGATTCAGCACATAATTCTGAATTGAATGGTGTGTCATACATGTCAAACCGTCAAGAATTGAAGGAGATACGAGGCTATAAAGATTTTGGATATTTTCTGACACACACCCTGAGGGAAAAGTGACAAAACACGACGATAGAAAAAGTGACAAAATGGGAGAAAGTTGTTCCCCGACCAAAATGCAATCATGTTGAAAAAGTGACATTTGTAAAGTTGGACGATAGGATTTCCTGAAAAAGTGCAAGACTTGTCTTGAATCAGGACAAGATTTGTCTTGAAAAAATACAAGACTTGTTCTGAAAAAATACAAGACTTGTCTTGAATCAGGACAATTGTTCTCAAATTTGAGAACTTTACAAGAAAAACTGACTAAAAAGTGCAAGTCTTGTTCTGAATCAGGACAAGATTTGTCTTGAAAAAATACAAGACTTGTTCTGAAAAAATACAAGACTTGTCTTGAATCAGGACAAAACTTTACAAAATGTAAACCTTACATAACCGTTTCTATCGTACATGATATTTAGTTGACATTGTAAACTATCTTCATGTAAAGTATGGCGGTTTGAAACCGTCGGGAACCTTCACTTTTTTGACGAACTTTCCGCAGCAATTTTTGGAATTTTGTGAAAACTCAACGGTTTGACACATGCCATATGTCATTTTACTCAGAATTTTGTGCTGAATTCAGCAAAAATAATGAGTTCATTTACTCACAATATTTTTGTACAAAACGACCCCAAACTTTTAACTTCTTTTCTGCAGTTTCTAATGCTATCTTAGCGAGTTCATATTCTCTAAATTCTCTCTTTAAATCTTCTTGTTCCCATTGGTCTAGTTCGTATGGAGAGTCTCTATAACCATAATATATCTCACGTTCATGTTCTAATTGTTTTTCGCACATTTTTCTAACTTCTTCTTCAAACAAATGTTTTGCATTCTCTACTGTATCTTCGAGTTCTTCTTCATCTAACTTCTCATGAACTTTCTTGTCTATGGAATCCATAATTTTTCCAACTGCTATGCAATATTTTGGAGAAGCCCACATTGCTATATAGTTTATAAGTCTTGCGTCTACATACGTTCCTCTAACCTGTTTGATTTCATCAGGAATTCCTGCATGAATTTTGTATAAAAAGCAACCGCCGGAATTCAGACGGTTGCTATATTCTTCACAAAATGCCTTATAATACTCTTCCCAGGACTTATTTTCCAACAACTTTCTAAAGTCTTTCCTAAACTGCTGACACATATTTGTTGCATTTATATAACCATCCTTGTCTCTACGTAAGACTTCAATACCGTTATAAGTGCCTTTTGTGAATGTTTCGCCATTATATTTGTTAGTGAATGTTTTTGCTTCGACTGACATTTCTGTTCTTACCTACAAGATAAAAAGTTAGAAAAAAATAAAACTAACTTTATTTTTTTCTATCTTAAGGAAATTCATTATTTTTGTGTTGAATTCAGCAAAAATATATTTTAGGGTAGATGGTTAGATCTAACCTCATTTCTACCCTCATTTCTACCCCAGTTATTTTATAAACATTTTACATGATATACGTTATGAATTCGTGAGATTCTAAACAGTTTTGTAGCTTCTATTTCTTCTTTTAGTACATCGAATGTTTTAACAATGCCGAAGGTTTCTTTATACTTCTTCTTGACGTCAGATAATAGGAAATCGTCAGCAGTTGGATAGTTTTTGTTCAGAAATGCTAACATGTCCATTTTATCTTCTGCTGGTTTCTCTACTTCTTTCTTTAAGTCAGCATAGTCGTTTCTCATACGTTCTATCTCTTTGACGGAGTAGTTATATTTCCTCATTGCTGCTTTACATTTAGAACATTGTGGATTCATTTTTGCGTTATACATTGAAATTTGACCTGCTAGAACAACTAAGGCGTCAATGGTTTTCTTTAACTCAAAAGCAGTTGGTTTTATCTGTTCATTCCATACCTTACCTCTTCTATCTTTATCTCTTATCTGCCATACACATTCTGCAACTAATGAAACAAAGTTGTCGTATGTCTTAAATTCTTCGGATTTATATATGTCAGAGATGTTCTTATATACCATGTCGCAATCTTTGTCCATAACTTTATGGTTGCAATGATATCCTAGAAACTCATAATTTACTTTACGTATGAACTTCTTTATTTCTACTGAGTCAGTTGGTTTCACTTCTATTTCATCGAATTCATGAATAGTGAGCTTTTGTTGTTGGATTTCAGGCAATTTGGGTAAATGGTCAATAATGTCCTGCATGTCATAAAGATATTCTTCATTTTCTTCATCCTGTGCGGTACAGTCTAAATTACTTGTTAAAAGTTCTTGCTTTATCTTCTGGATTTTTGTTTCAAAAGTATATGAAGAAGGAATAAAGCTTTTCATCTCTACTAACATAGATGTTGGATTCATGACTAACGAATTTGGTGCTGTTGTTTGAATTGTTGTTGTGCCGATTGTTGAAATCATATCTTTTATACAAAATAAAAAAATAAATAAAAATAAAACTAACTTTATTTTTTTCATCTTAAGGAAATTCATGAAAATTCAAGACCCTTTGGGTCTCGCCGCTTAGCGGCTGAGGGTAGAAATGAGGGTAGAAATGAGGGTAGATCTAACCATCTACCCTAAACATTATTTTTGGTCATGGACTTCGTCCTCGCCGCTTTGCGTCTTTATGTTAAAATAAATGGTACCATTAATAATACATGACTGTTCTCATTCATGTCTGATTTACATCTAATGAAAAAGTTTAGAAGAATTTTCTTATTCTTTCTGGCATATTTTTGTCTTTCCAGTACTCCCGCTCTAATGGTCCCAGATGTGTTGGCTTCGACTCTCTCAAGTTCTTAGATGGTATAACATCTTCAACGCCTCCTTCATATCTTACTTTATAAGTGTCATCGTTTGTGTTATAGCCAAGTATTTCAATAACCACTCCTCGCTTTGCTTCGTCAATGGTTTCAGCAAGTTTGCCATTACTACTTTCGACTAATTTATGATGAGGGTAAAACGCTATGGAGTCGTCAGCAGCTTTTATAAGATATCCATTACCTTGCGTAGAGTCTACGATATAATAATTTCTACTTAACCTTAAACGTTTCTTTGTCAACGGTTTGTCGTCAAGAACTACACGAACTTTTGTACCAGGAATGAGGGTAAATTGTGTTGAATTTCTGATATTTTGTGTTTGGCTTCGTTTCTTTTGTATATACTTTTCTTCTTGTTGTTGTGTCATTGAATTTGGTGTATGTCCTGTTGTAGAATGTGTTGAGGAATTATATACTTCGAGAAAATGTTTCATTGTTTCTTCGGTAAAGTCTCGCTCTTGATTTAAATCTCTGAGCGTTCTTATGAAGCGGTTTATGATGCCGAGTATGTTATGGTTATGGTCTTCAGTAGTGTAGTGAGTTATGTTATGCTTAATGAGAAATTCTGTGATTTCGTTGCTGAGGTATGCACTGTCTTGGTCTGATGTTAAAGTACTTGGGCTATGTTCTGCTACAAACTTTTGTAAAACTCTTAACACTTCACGAGTTCCTTTGTTCCTCATTGGATATGCATATGCTTTACGAGTGTTAACATTTATGAAGATGAGGAATGGTTTATGTCCTCCTTTTCTGCTTTGAATGAGAGTGTCAAATTGGTATGCGTCAGGAGTGTTGGAGTAAATTGGTAAAAAGTAGTCGTAAGGGTTTATTTTTGTTTGATGTACAACATTTTTGTCAAAGAACCTTTTCACTTCAGCTCTGTTAGTAAATCCCCAACTCTTTGCAGCTTCATTGAACTTCTTAAATGACCTCCATGGATGTTGTTCGAATACTTCTTTCAAGCTCATTTATGTAAAGTTAAAGATTTTATTCAAGACGGTAAGCCCGCAAAGCAGGCTCAAGCGCGTTCATTGAACGCGGTACCATGCAAATACAGTCACAAATGGTGGCATGTAATCTGCACCCGAGCCTGTTGGATTTGTTGTGAAAGTATGGACATGATTTCCTCCTGGTTCAGTTGGTCGAAAAGTCTTTTTTGCTGAATTGTTATAAGATGGAGATAAAACATCATTGCCAGCTTTATATTCTGAGTTGTATAATGGATGGTCTCGTAATGAGTGGCTATGGTCGCCAGAAAAGTTTGTCGTTCCTGTATGAGTGTGCGGTGGAAGGTTTGCTTCAGTAATTTTCTTCGAACCTCCTGTTTGCTTTGAAGAGTTAGCACAGTATAAGAATTTGTCTACAATCTGCTGCCATGTACCAAAACCTAAAACTGTTGCTGGATTTGTTGAGTTCATTGACGTATAAATAGAGCCTATAGGATATAATGTTTCAAGAATCTGAGTCTTTAATGTTTGAAGCTCTGTTTTGTCTGCTTTCTTGTCTAACATTGCGGGTAGTTCATATGCTTCAAAGTTTCTGGCATGATCTTCGATATTCCTGCAACTCTTATCTAAATTGTTAAGAGTATCTTTTACGCTTGTACTCGGATTCTCTAATGGTGCACTTGAACCAAGGTCAAAGTTCAATATTATGTCGTCTGCTCTAACAGTAGTAAAGTCTGCTTTCTTAAGTATTTCTTGAATGTATGCAATGAGAACAGAGTACCTTGGAAAATATTCGAACAATATTTCATTAGCTGTTGGTTTTGGTGGTTCTTCTGGAGTTTCTGTTGTTTCAGTTCCTTCTGGAGTTTCTGTTGGAGTTTCTGCATCTCTTGACTTCAATGCTCTTGCTCTCAAAGACCTAAATGTTAGAGCACCGGGTTTTACAAAGGACTTTATAAATGCTTTAATAGTTCCTGGTAAGTTATTGTTAGCATTAAGTAAGTTCCTTATGCTTCCATCATGTACGTCCATAGCACTATGTAAAAAATCTATACTTTTCTTGTAGTCAGCAATAGACTGACTGTGATTTTTTAAAGATTTATCAATACCTTTAAGCCAATCTTCATGCATGTCTGATACTGAGCCAAGAATATCATTTGCTTCCTTTAGTGTATTTTGTGCTTCTCGTAAAGTATCCAATCCCGTACGTGCATTGTTTGCTATACGTCTTACAGTATCTATTTGACTCCTTGTTTCTTGCATCCAACCAGATAAAGTTTTAATAGTATCCGAACCATTTGAAATGAAGTTCAAAGCATTTTTAACGTCATCTAAAACTTCTTCACCAAGTACTGCCCATATCTTTCCGATTTGGTATTGAAGAACTCCATATGAAGCAGCTGTTAAACCAGTATTTATAAGGTTCCATATCCATGATTTAGCAGTTTTTCCATCCTTTCCATCCTTTCCATCCAAACCGTTTTCGCCTTGAGGTCCTTGTATTCCTTGTATTCCTTGTATTCCTTGTGGTCCTTGTGGTCCGGTGTCACCCTTCTCTCCTTTCAGTTCATCTTTATGTTCGTTATAATATTCTAATGTCATAAGGTGTACATCATTACTGCTACCAGCAACGCCGAGAATTTGTTTCTCATTCATGACTAAATTCTTTAGGCATTTAATGTTGTCGTCAAATCGAAAGCTCTTTAACAATTCAATGAGAACATTCAGTACTTTCACTAATGAGGCATCTACTGTAGAATTTATATATTGCACCGTTCCATCATTTATGATAGGAACTTTACTTATTGTAATGAATGGGTCATAAGTGTTAAAAGTATCGAAATCAATGACTTTTTTAGTTTTTCCATCGTCAATGACTAAATCATTGCCTTCAATGGTTAAAGTTGAGTTTTCATTTACTAGTTCATGTGCTCTTCTTGCTTCATTTGTTTCATACGCATATGCAGCAATAGTCATATTTTAATGAGAATAAAATGTTGTTCTATTTGCAAAGTACAGACCCAAACGAATACGGGACAGTAAAGCTTCAAACAAACTTAGGTCTTCAGAATGAAGCACTTGCTTTCAGAGTTGTTGACTTCAATACTATCGCAACTTTTGTCATAACAGATGAAACAGATTTCATAGAGATTGAAATAGATGACAAAAGAAGTTTTATAACATTTCCTAACAGAGCAGAGTATAGAATAGATAAAATTGCTGGAGTCATAGATACTCTCATAAATGAAGAAACTATTGACAACATAGATGTCGAACTCTCTTCTGAGGGAACATTGAAGTTCAGTAGCAAGAAAGAGTTCAAGATAACACGAATGAGTCATAGAGTACAACTTCTTTTGGGAGCATACCATATGACATTTCCTTTGAAAAGTGTTGACAAAACGATTGAGATGAAATCTGTTCCATACGTATGTTATGGCAATTGTTTGTACATTGAGTCAAAAATAGCTAATGTCACAGGTATTTCAGGAGTTAATAGTAAAGGTTCAGTAGAATATAAATCCTTCTGTTATGCAGTCAATTCAATGTTCATTCCAAACGTTCCTGTCATAGCAACTCATTTAGGTAAATGGGTTCGCATTAGTCCTCATAATTTGAAAGACATGCAATTCAGACTTGTTGACTTTCAAGGAGAGCCTGTAGAACTGAAGGCACCAGTGCGAATGACTGTTGAAGTTGACTTTTTAGAAAATATTAAATGCAACAGCTTACAAGAGAACTCAGAGCTAAAAATATAAAGTATGAATGTTATGTATTAGGTCATGAACTTTGGTTGTTGCTGTTTGATGAAACAAATGAGTTAGTTATGTCAGTCAAGAGAACAGAAAAATATTGTGTTAGTGAAAACTGCACCAAGTCAATAAGATTAGGTTTGCATTATGAAGATGAGTTCGATACTGTTGAAGAAGTTTTGGATAGATATTACAAATTGCTTTAATTTACTAAAACATATTTCAAACAAAGTTTATATTCTGTTGAAAGTTTTGTATATTCATTCGAATATTTATACTTAAACTCAACTCCTGGAGTACCTGGTGTTTCAATGATGCGGATGTTACCTATTTTCATGAATATTGGCGTTTGACCACAGCATTCGATTTCAGGGTCGAGATAGTCAATGACACATTGTTTCCCTGTTATTCGTGAGATAACATTTTCAAGGTCCTCCTTTGTTAGAATTATTTGGTTCTTACTTATAAGATTTGTCAAAAGCTTCTTATCGTCTTTGAGTAAAATTGTTTGGTATAACTGAAGAAGGTAATGGTCTACGTTATCTGAAGGATTTGTTTGAACATTTATGTAAGGGTTGTCGTTGGCTTCTCTTGAAAGAATTTGGTCCAGTGGTGGATACTCTAACTTAACATCTGATGTAGCGTTAGCGTTTGAAGCTGAGTTTAAATTCACGGATTTCAGCTCTGGTTCTTTTTCTTTCAAACACTCCGAACTATAGTTCTTTATGACAATATTGTTTGTCGTTCGTGAGTCAACATTTGATGTTGGTTCAATTGGAACATTAACGGCACCAGCTAAGATGGATTTGCTTCTCATTTCATATAGAATAAAAACCTTTTATATGTATGAAATGAACAATATACTCGACAAGGGTTTGAATGTAAAGCTAACGAATGAAAATATTGTTGAATTCACTGAGACAGGTGCTGTGTATAAAGATGTAGAACTACTGAACAAAAGAGCTAAGGGAAGAAGCAGGAACATGAACAAAGGGTGGAAGCCTATAAAAATTTATGTCAATGATGGCTCAGGAGGTTCAAACATAAAGTATGCAGAAAGTTATAGAGTTTATGCTCTCAAAGGTGAAAAGCCTTCATTTAAGAACAGCTATTCTAACACATATCCTCAAAAGCTAACGGATGGGGAAGTGGATGATATGAATGACAGCAAAAATATTAACAGAAATGGCGACAGAGATGCATGGAATTTGTTTACCATCAGTCAATTGAAGGTTAAACTTTAAAACAATGTTGGTCGTTCCCATGGAATATTTTTGACTTTAATGGTATTAGTCATGATATGAATCTCAAGGTATGAACGAGGAGAGATGAGAGACTTATATGCTTCCCAAATTTCTTCAAAAGGTAATGTTATACCTGACTGTTTCCAAATGAGTTCAATATCATAACGTGAGAAACCTTGAAAGATAACGAAGTCAGTTATGAGACGTTTTATGTTTAAAGCAAGGAAACGCCATGTTTGCATAAGTATTGCTACAGTTAAATGGTAATGTCTGACTTTAGTTATGATGTTAGCTAATGGTGAGTCAGGCTTTGACACTAAACCTTTTCCGGCGAAGTCGTCACAAACGAGCAGAGTGTTTGAAGGATACTTTTTGAAGGGGTATTTTGAAAGTTTTGATAGAATGTAATTTGTCAGTCGTTTCATATCGTAAACTCCTGAGTACTGACGTAAGTGGTGTTTGTCAATAATTCTTTCCATCTCCTCAGAAGTCTTTTGCATTCCTGACTGTATGAACTCTACGATGGCATAATATTTCCTCTTACGTCGAATGTAACGTTGAAGAAATTCAATGAGTTCACTGTCTGGAACTTTAACGACAGAGGCTTGAACTTTTGACATAAATGTTTTCGCTGTTGAGTCCATAGAGTCTGAAGTTGCTGATATAATGATTTGGTCATAGTAAGAGTCATTTCCTAAACGTTCTGTTATGAGTATATGACGAATGATGTTAAATGTCTTTCCTGACCCCATCTTTCCACAATAAAAGTACACACCGTTTGAACAGAACTCATAGTCCTTGCTGAAAGGAAGAATGAGAGAAGAGTTAAGTTTGTCTGTGGTTTCGTTCATGTCTTCATCTACGTCATGTATTAAATGCTTCATTTTATCTCCATTAAAAATGCAAGTCAGAAATATTCAGAACATAGCACCGAGTCTAACTGACAAGAGTATAAAGATATACTATGAACACGTTATGATGAAACCAACCAAAATTCAAGAAAGTCAGTATACTTATGAATATCCAAGACACTGGGTAGAGTATGTAGGAGGTGAGAAAGCTATTGAAATAAGACAAGTTAGAAGTATTCCAGCAGGAAGAACAATATTATTGAAGAACTTTAATGTTTTGAGATATAATGATGAAACAAAGAAGCAAGATAGTTTCCCTGTTGCTGTGTATGTGAACCTAGACACAGGAGATGACATGAAAGTTTTTAACACAAAGCTTCAAACGGTATTGAAAGAACAACTGACTGCGGAAGGACATCCATTACCTTCTGAAGTTACCATAGCATATAATTTTGAAACAAACTCAATAGATTTTAAAGTCGTCTCTGCAAAGAAGTCAGGATTTACATTTAATGAAGCAGATGTATATTCGAATGAAAACTTCAAAGCTATTGCATGGTTAGATAATGACGATTGCTTTAAGAAAATATTTAAATACAGTGACTCAACGATGTCAATAGATGACCTTCGTGGAATGTTACCATCGACGTTTACAGTAGAAGGTTCAGCAGGATTGCCTACAAGATTGTCAATTGGTGGTATTTGGTCTCGTGAGAACATTGTTATAAAATCCAGTATAAGTGAATTTGCTGAAGAATCTATATTATGTCTTTCAAACTACATGTATTCGCCACCGAAGCATTATAGTATAACAAACTTTGTCAGTAAGTTTAACATAAGACTTGTCGAACCTTCTTCAATGAAAGATGTTGTGCTACCTAAAGATGGAAAGGATGGACTCATTATTGAGATGATTTTAATTGCATACTAAATGAGCTTGTTCTTGAAGGTCATTCATGATGAAATAACTGTTGTAGAAGATGTTAGCAATTGTTCAGACATTTTGAAGCGAATAGATGAGATAAGAAAGAAGTTAGATAGACCGCAAAGCGGTGAGGGCGAAGCCCGTGAGAACGCTTATGTTTCATTGACTTTCTCCAGTAACGAGAACTTTTATGAGATAATATTGAAGAGAGATGATTTTAATATGGTGTAAATGGTAGCTTGGGCAGCTTTAGGCGCAATGGGAACAAAAGCATTAGCATTTGGAGCAAAAGCACTTGGAGCTTATGACGCAGTAAATAAAATGAGTGGAGGAAGGGTTTCGAAGACATTAGATGCAAATAAAGGAAAGATTGGAGGCTGGGTTGCAAAGAAGTTAAGATTAAATAAAATAGGGCTCATAAATAAAGCATCCAATTTGGTTGCGACTGAGTCAGAAAATGCTTTAGGAAAGGACGATGAGTTTGCAAAACACGCAAAAGACTTTAATGACCAGATGAAAGGTGAAACAATGCATTTAAATAGATTCGATGGAACTAAAGAAAATGTTTCTTCTCCACCAGCGGTTTATCCATACGGACCTTATGGAATGTATGGAAACCCTTACGAAAGACCATTTGACCCATTGACTGGTGGAAGTAACTGGTATCATTACGGCCGAAGAAGAAAGACAGTCAAGTTGGAGACAGACGTGAAGAAAGCAACTAAAAAGAAACCAAGGAAGAGAGTTATAAAGCAATGAATTCAACAGGGTTAGAAATGAGGGTAGAAATGAGGTTAGATCTACCCTTCTACCCTAAATTTATTTTTGCGCTATGTTTTCATACGTGTGAGGGTGGTGATATCATTAATTTTTAAGTTTATTTTTAAATAATTTTTTATTTTATTTTTATATAAATGACGAAAACTATTGAGATAACAAACTACAACGGTCATGAGTTCAAGAATTTATTCTTCGTTCCTCGTGAAAATACATTCTATCAGATACGAGGGAGAAAGGGTAAAGTTAGTTTGAGCGTTTATGAAGGAATGAAGAATGGAAAGTTTATACAAGCATACGATACAAACGGTAAACGTGTTTCATTAGCTTTGTCAAAACTTACTAACATTTATTTTGACAGTGATTTTGACCTATATGAAGAAGAAAGTGAGTCAGAAGATTATGAGCTGTTATGTGAAGCACAGCAATGGGAGGAGTTGCAATACTTTTGTAAGTGAGAACGTTTATTTTTTACATTAGTGAAGTCGTTTGTGAAAACGTTAGTGAAGTGAAGTGGTTGGCGGCTTTGTAAATATTTAATGTTAAGTTAGTGTTGTCGTTTGTGTTGTAAAATATACGTTAATGGTTTTGTAAATATTTAAGGTTAAGTGGTGTACGGAGGCGCGCAGTGCCTCAGTACACGACTTAGCCATACTAACTAGGTATAATACCAACAAACTGACCTACTTTTTTACCAATATTTTTGACTCCGTTCCATACTCCTCTTCCGACAGATTTTATTCCATTCCATATACCTCTTCCAACATTTCGAAAGAAGTTTCCTATCTTACTGAAGAAACCCATTTTACTATATGTAAAAATCTAATGTCCGCCTAGTCTCTTACGTTTCCTGTTGAGTTCCATAGCATTCTTTAACTGGAGCTCATACATTCTGTTTCTCCTCTGGTAGAAAACATATTCTGGGTCAACTCCTGTGTTCGCGTCATCTGCATAAAGTTGTTTATATCCCACTTCAGGGTTTGTATAAAACTCTTTCCATCTCATATTTGCATACCATGGTGGCAAACCTAACGCAGCGTCATTTGACATGGCAGTTTGCATTTGTACATCTGTTGGCACTTGACCATAGTTTGCCATTGCAGTTTGTATTCTAACTTCATTTGGAATATTCTCTGGGTTTGGTTGTCCAGGTTGCTGTGCATTCGCTAAGTTCTGTGCGTCCATTTAATATTAGATAAAAATATCTCTTACGAGTACATATACTGAACATTTGCAGGCATTGGTTCATCTTCATATTCTCTGTACTTTTCTGCCACGTCAAATAAATAAATGACACAATGGAAAAAACCTAAAACAAGTAGTCCTATTTCAAACCACATTTACTTACTAATAAAATTTCTTTATTGTGACACTTTCTCCAGTTTATAGGACCTCTCTCATATTCTATCTTGTCATATATAAACTCATAGTCATGTATGTCCTCTAACCATCTCATAACGGTTTCCAAACCACTTTTATCGGATGTAAAGTAAAAGCATGGATGGTTATGTATAACGTCTAAAGTTTCTAAAGAGTCTCTCAAAGTCCAGTCTACTTGGTATTGAAAATCCCATGTGTTATAGAACGGCGGGTCCACTATAAAGAAAACATTTTCCTTGTCTTTATATTTTTCATACAAATCTGTCCAATGACATCTCACAAACTCTATACCCTCAATATATTTTTCTATGTCCTCTTTGAAAACATTTGTATAGTTAAGATATAAAACTTTTGACATAAGTGTTTCAATGTCATGAACTCTTATAGCACCACTATATAATAGTCTAGCAGATATACTATCCCAGTCTATGTATTCTGCTTTTTTCAAAACCTCTCTCACAATATTTTTCTTATCTAATGGTATACGTTCCATCTTACCTATAGGTATCTTTTCTTTTAACTCTTTCAATATATTGTTTGTGTCTGGAATATGTTTGAGACGGTTCATATAGTTGTCGAAGTCATTGCATATAATCTTTGAGTCAGGAAATACGGTATGACATAAATGGGATATATAGAAACTTCCACCGAACAAATCTACAAATGTTAGACCATTCGGTTGTTTCTTAAGTTCTCTCAATATAATATCTTTACATCTACTCTTATTTCCAAAGAACGGTAACGGTGGTTTTGTAAAATTCATTTATATATAATAATAAAAATGTTTCACCCGAAAAGTGACAGAAAAGTGACAAAACATGAAAACATATATAATTTGTGAAAAGTGACATAAAAAGTGACATTTAAAAAGTGACACCATTAATATGATGTAAATAACAACGGTTTTGGTTTTGTCACCGGCTGGTCGGCTGGGGTTCGGTCCTCCTCTTGGGTCTTGGGTAAAATTTCTTATGGGCTAGAGGGCGCAACGCGCCTGGAAGCCCCACCTACCTGACCTTTATATGCTTTAAATAGCTCTAAACATAGTATGTATATGTCTTGAATAAATATTTATCCATTTCATGTTATTTATTTTCCAACTGCAAAACAATTTTTTAGGATTCCAGTACAAAATATTCCTCTTAAATGTTTTCAATTTTGAGAAAAAGGCATGATTCTCGTATGAAAAAAACTCCACCACCGATACTTAGGATGCATGGAGTTTTTTATAGGAATAATGATTATCTTGCTCTGAAAAAGGGAATATTAATTGATAGAATTTGAGAAAGTTGTTAATTCAACTTTAAATAAAATTGAATTTTAATTTTAACAAAAATTTTTATATAAAAACAAACAATATATTATACAGGCGCTAATATTAAGTCAGAAGCCAAGTATGTTTTAATAATTTCGTAATCTCTGTTGATAAATTTCAAAATACTTGAGTTAGACTCGCATCTCTGCTTGACTTCCATGACATTGCTCAATATATCAACAAGTTCATGCTCAGATTTCTTGTTGCATAATTTAGAAATATCATATTTTTCTAATGTCGAAATTAGGTTCTCTATTGTACAGTATCTCTTCCATATCCTACTCAAGAACGATGATCTAAGTAACTTTTTCGCAAAAGTCGAGGATTTGAATGAAATTTGGACGGTTTTCAATTTAATTTGACTTTCTAAGATGGAATCATCGATTTGGCCAAGGAACTCTGCATAAGGATCGAAACTTCTGATCGAATCCAATGCTTGTGTAATCGCATCTGTTAATTTTAAGGTATTAAAGTAGAAAAACTGGCGAAGCTCTTCTTGGATGTTTCTTTTGCATTCCTTGATAAAGTTCCATTGTTGCTTTTGATCACCAAAGCCGTTCGATTCATCATGAAAGCCAACAGAAAAAATATGGTCAAAAAAGTGGGATTTCGTCATTGCTATTGGATTGGATACACCTATTATGAGGTTTTTCGTATTTTCTTTCGATTTAATGTTCTGAAATCGAGTATCGGATACAGATATGAAAGGTAAAATTGAATCTGATGGTAATTCTGGGAAAATTAACGATTCTAAAGCTAAAACGCACGAAGAAGCAATCGTAGGTGTGGATCCATACACTAAAAGTGATTCATTTAAAATGGCCACTTCCCATAATTTTAAAATATCAATACTTCGGCCATGTACGAGTAACGATTGTAATGAGAAGGCCGTTGTAAGGTCAAATCCTAGAAAGTTATCATTTAAGTAGTATATTTTTGATAATGGAGTCCATCCAACTCCTCCGTAAAAAGATATGAGCTGTTGCTGGTTATGAGTGTATGATATTGGCATAGAGCCGTCGAACATCGGTAATTCTATAACTTCATCTGGCTTCAATGGAAAATTTCCAAACCATTTTGTCAAAAAATCTTCAATAAAAGTTAAAATATCTGTGGTAATTGAACCTAGTACTAATGATGATTGTAAAAGTCTTGTAAAAGGATAAATATATGGTAACTCTGATGCAATAACAAGAGTATTTTGTTTGTGACCGCGGGGAGCCGTAGAATCTGGCCGGCTTACGTACATCGCATAACAAAATGATTTTGATATCTTGAATATGAATAATGTCGATTCTTGGTCTGATTGAATAACTGTGTCTGGAAATGAACAACATTGAAGAGAAATCATCTCATTTTCGGAAAACTTGTTCTTCCCTACGGAGCCAATGACTTTTGGTCCATAGACAGAATCAAATTCTAATAGAAAAGCAGATGTTACATTCATTTCCAAAAAAAATTAATTAAGTACGATTAATTTAGATTCAATTGATGTTCGGTATATAGAGCAATAATTACAGTAAGTTATTCAGCAATAATACCAAAGCATTTTTGGGTCTACACACCTGTGTATGAATTTCTAAATTTATAAAAAAAATTGTAACGTTTCAGGAACAAAAAAATGGATTCATCTCGTTCTGGACGCAATACAATCAGAGTTTCACGTAAGCTTAGAACATCTTCAGCTAAGAACAATCAGCCAAAGCAAAAAAAGTTAATAAAACCAGCTGAAATTCATGAGTTACGATTCAATACTCAGAAAGTTCTTCAGCAAAATAGATTACTGAAAGCGCAATTGAATAGACTTAAAGATCGCATTAACACTACAACTAAAAATATCAATAAAACAGTATCAAATACTCGAGATGTTCAATATGATCATACTAACGAGAATATATGCAGACAGTTAAATGATAGCATCATTATTGCTCAGCACACTATTGATCAACTCGATGCAGAAATACAAGAAAAGCAGAATGATGATAGAATCGCGTTAGTTGAAGAGCTTGAAACAGAATTGAAGGTTGCATATGGCGAATACATGAGATTATATGAGAAGACACATCAAGGAAATACATCAAATGCTGATCTCGTCAAAAGATTAAATGCAGCAAGCCAGAGATGCTCAAAGAGAAATGCTCATGAACTTGATATTGCTATCATTGATACAAAGGAAGCTAACAAGATGCTTCAGGATAAAGTTGACGCTTATAATAAGAGAGCAGAGAAGGTTAAGATAGAAAGAGTCATCAACGAGAGGCAAGAGAAAGGTATGAGCCACAAATACGCGTTAATATCAATTGATGATACAAAAGCTAACAGAACTCAGAAATATAATTCAATTGTTACTTCTCTTAATGAAGAGATGGATCAGTATAATGCAAACGTAGATAAATTAATTGATCTTATTGGTAAAAAGCGAAATACAATCAAGGAATACATTAGAAAGAAGATGAACAATGAACTTGACAATGAAGAAGAAGAAGATGTAGAAGGTAGAGAAGAAGAAGAGGAATTCGAAGAAGCTCAAGAGGATGAAGGTGTTTTTGAGGAAGAAGAAGAAAAATAATTTTAATAAATATTCTGCGTTTTGTTTACTTTGTTTACTTTATTTTGGAAAGTTCTAAAATTTCGAACCGCAAAAAAGCTGAATATTACTGTATTTTAGCAAAAAATTGACTGCAGAAAAAAATTTAAATGTTTATTTTAAAATTTTTTCTTGCCGTCAATACTATTTTAAAATTACCATACTCAACATTTAATTTGGGAGGGAAAAAATCGTTCGCAAATTCAAATTTTCAGAACATTTAAAAAGTGACGACTATTTTCAATGAATGGATTATAAATTTAATGCAGAAAGTTCAAAAAGCATCATACATGATAATGAAAAAATTGATAACCAAGAAAATATAGATGAAAAGGAACCTGTAGATAGCGAAGTTCTACAAAATTTGATTGAAAAATTTCATCAAGATTTAGATGAAGGAAATCCAGAAGAATCAGTTCAAAATTTTGCAAATTTAATAGAGATGACTCATAATTTCCTTATCGAAAAGGAAATATATTTAAATTTACTCAAAACAAATTTTATTGAAGATATAATTGACTTTTTAATGATGTTTGATGACAACAGAGATATTGTAAATGATGTGTTAGTACTAATTCAGAATCTTCTTACTCAAGATATTTTGATTATCGATAATTTAGTTGAAAATTCGGGATTAGAGCCAATACTTAACATAATTTCATCAACAGATGATGATAATATTGCATTGCAATGCTTAATGATTATTAAAATTGCATTAGTAAGCGAAAAGGCCCAAATTATTTTAGATACAACACAATTTCCAGATTTAATTGATAATTTACTTCAGAAATTCGATAGATATGAGATACTAATAGAGTCTGCATCGATTATAGATGTTTCTATTGCACATTTACAAAAAATGAAAATTCAATTTTTCATTTTAGGTCTGAAATTCTTTGATTTCATAAAGGGTATATCAGATGATGAACTTTCGAATACTCTTTACGATAAAATTTTAGGTTCTCTTGAAAATTTTTCATTTTCTAGTTGTAAGAACGTTATTTGGCTTCTTGAAAACAATATCATTGGATTCTGTTTCTCGGAGATACCAAATATATCTCCAATTTTCATTGGAAGAATTTTATTAATTTTGGTTGGAATATTTAATTCATTTCCGCAGTTTATTACTGATGAAGAAAGCGAAAGCAGTCATAATATAAGAGAGAACATGCGACAAGTAGCAAATCAGCTTCCAATCGATGAAATAATTAAATTATTTGATTTATTTATTTCAGAAGCTGACGTTAAATCGGTTGGAGTAGCTTTAACGCTATTAGAACTTGCTGTACAATATGATGAATCCATTTTTCTCCATCTTTTGGAAAAAGATTTTTCAGAAAAATTTCAGGATTTAATGATTAACACTCCAAATAAGGTCAAGATATATTGCATTCACTTTTTATATGAATGCATGCCTTATTTCGCGAGTTCTATTGTTAATTCCCTGATAAATGAAGAAATTGTTGAAATTTTTGAAAATTTAATCGAAAGTGATGTCGAACTCTCAGAGAAAGTATTCCAGATTTGCTTATCCATATATAATCTCATCGATTCTGACTCTCCAATGAAGGAAATTCTGGATAATATCATTGATCAAAATTATTCTGCATCAGAATAAGATATTTCATATGTATTTGTTTTTACCATGTTATGTTAATGTAAACTATACTATTCTATCTCTTCCCAACAATTAGATAAGCGTTATATTTATTTAAGTTTTAGCAATGTTTAAGTTTTACTATTTTTTATTTAACAAATGCAGTGATAAAATGAATTAATGCAAGAAAATGCTATCTGAACAAGGATAAAATGTATATTCAAATTAATTTCAAGAATTTAATGAGAATAATTAACATAATTTACTGATCGTCAGCTAAAACTGCTGCACCTGGATGCATCATCTTCTTTCCTGTTGCAATTGCAGCGATATCAAGAGCCTTTTGAGCATCAACTCCAGCAATGAAATGATCAAGAAGAAGAATTCGAAGAAGCTCAGGAAGAGGAAGTTGTTTTAGAGGAAGAAGAAGAAAAATAAGTTTAATAAATATTCTGCGATTTGTTTACTTTATAATTTCACTTTTAATTGAAAAAAATATGAACATCTGATTGGGGAAAAAATTGAGAAGTTTACAAGTCAAAAGGAAGTATTTCATAGTTCCAAGTCGGCTGATTCTGTTTGGAAACTCTTTTATGAAACAGATCCTATTTCAGAACCTTTCGCTGGAAAGATTGTTACAGAATCATCAACAGAAAACGAGAGTTTCATCTTTCAATGTGTTTTCGTCAAAATCATCTTTAATAGTGCCATTTTCTTTGAAAGATCAGGTAATAAGTTTCTTAACTCATATTGTTCATTTAATGACTGCAGTAGTAATACAAAAGGTGGATCTATCTATTTTCAATGTGATAGTTCCATTGTCCAATACCGAACATGTAGCTACAAATCAAAAACAAGCTCTGAAGAAGGGCATTTTTCATATATTAAATTAGTTGATGAATCAAATAATAAAAATTATCTTTATGAAAGTTCATTTTGTGCATGCGGAAATTTAGAAAAATCTCAAATAATTAGTCTTTATTAGAGGCGTGCTGAACCGTTGGGTGGAAATTGAATACCCACACTTCAGCATGGACCCTTCTGATGGAGATAGACCCAACATGTATATGGATGAATATTAGGACATTAGGTATAGATGAACATATATAGGAATGAGGACCACCTTGGGTCAGCATCAGATATCGAATTTTAGAACCATCTAATTTTCATTCAATATTCTATAAGTGCAATGTATGTTTCCTATATATAAAGGTTTGATAATAGTTAGGTCTCAATATAGATCTTTGGTCCCAATTTATATTATGAATATCATCAATTTGTGTGTTTTTAACATTATATATTAGTATTGTGTTGATATAATGCTATATTATGTAGTGGTAGGTGTGTCTTGATATAAATTATGTTATTGATCGGGATATGAGTACAAATGCAAGTTATCCCGGGGTGAGGTCAGGGCTATCGCGTCCTAATTCATAGGGAAGGGTTATCATGCCTAGTATGTGTGTGTTGTGCTATCCGTTTGTCCATTGGATGGCACAGCACACACAATCACAAGACAAAACCTCGAAGCGAGGAACAGTTCTTGTAAGGATGTGGTAACTATATACCTATTCTTACAAGAACTTGTATAGTGGAGCAATGTTTCGAATTGCTCCACTTTTCCTCCCATCGAGGTTATCCCGAGGTGAAGTCATAGCAATGGGGCTCATATTGATGGTGCACCATTGCTATGACTTGCACCTTCGTATGGTACTATCCATTATGAATTTTGAAATAATTTTGCAATTGAAATAATCTTAAATTTAACAAAAAAGGCCGAGAAGGGGGTCCTTTCTCAAGGTCAGGGCCCCCTTCTAGTCTTTCTGGTGTCGGAAGGAGTGGCTTTTTCCAGTATTGCCGCTCCTTCCGGCATCATCTTTGCATTTCGCAATTGTCGCGGCAAGTGCATTCTGGCACCACAGGTGCACTTGCCGCGACATATGATTGCGAGTGTCTGCTGCTCAGCCCCGGATTCGCAGCAGACACTCGCAATGCGAACCAAAGTTCGCCAGAAAGACCGGGAAGGGGGTCCTTTCTCAAGGTCAGGGCCCCCTTCTAGTCTTTCTAGAACTGTAATTTGACTTATTTTGCCGAATCTCAGGGAAAACCGTCCGTGATTTGAACGATCTACTGAGATTCGGCAAATTTGATTGTAAGCGAGGCTCTGGCCTTTGCTTGGGCCAGGGCCTGTATTTGTATGTCTTTCAGGGCCGAGTTCCTGCGAGACCGTCGACATGATCGACGATCATCGCAGAACTCGGCCCTGAGGATGAATTTTGCAGGCTCTGGCCTTTGCTTGGGCCAGAGCTTCGTATTTTCTACTTCCCAGGGCCGGATTCCACTCCTGCCGCCCGGGATAAGGGCGGCATTTGGGAAAGCCGGCCCTGGGGAATGTAAGCCATGCCCTGGCCTTTGCTATGGCCAGAGCCTGTATTTGTATGTCTTTCAGGGCCGAGTTCCTGCGAGACCGTCGACATGATCGACGATCATCGCAGAACTCGGCCCTGAGGATGAATTTTGCAGGCTCTGGCCTTTGCTTGGGCCAGAGCTTCGTATTTTCTACTTCCCAGGGCCGGATTCCACTCCTGCCGCCCGGGATAAGGGCGGCATTTGGGAAAGCCGGCCCTGGGGAATGTAAGCCATGCCCTGGCCTTTGCTATGGCCAGAGCCTGTATTTGCATGTCTTTCAGGGCCGAGAAGAGAGGAGATCGCCAATGATGTGGACGATCTCCCTCAAACTCGGCCCTGCGGATTGTATTTACAAGCTCTGGCCTCGGAAAAGGCCAGAGCTTCGTATGGACGTTCTCTCGGGACTGGATTCCTCTCCGGCCGCCCCGAATCAGGGCGGTCTTTGAGGAAACCGGCCCCGAGGATTGTTTGCGAAGCTCTGGCTTTTCCTGAGGCCAGAGCTTGTGATTTTCGTTCAAAGCCAAGTTCCTCTCGGATCAGGCCTAATGAGGACGGCCGTCGAGGAACTTGGCTCTGAGGGGATGAATTGTTGGCTCTGGCCTCGATGAAGGCCAGAGTTTTGAATGGAATGTTTTGATGGGATGAGCCTATGAGCAGTAAGCTCGTCCCATCAAAACATTCGTTTAAAAATTGAATTAAAAATTATCGTAGGCATTCAAAAATTAAAACAATTAATATGTAGAATATTATTATGTAATAATAATAGAATAAAATATATATAAAATTATGTAAAATTTTCAAAAAATATTGGAAAATGGAATTTTGAAAGAAAAAATAAGAGTTTGTATATGAAAAATTTAGATTAGTAGAGTTAGATTATTTAGAATTTAAATGAGAAATGAATTATGAAAAAGGAAGATTAGAAAGAATTGTATATTTATAATTTAATAAAATGAAGGAATCGAACTAAGGAGTTTACAATTACAATACAATAGGATAATATATTGTAATTGTAAACTCCTTTCGAGAAACGATTTTCGAATGTGACATTCGTGCCACAAAGTGAAAGCTTTTCTCGAAAGGAGTTTACAATTACAATACAATAGGACAATATATTGTAATTGTAAACTCCTTTCGAGAAACGATTTTCGAATGTGACATTCATGTCAAACAATTAAGCAAATTTCTTATCTGAGTACATGTATGCAGGGTGTCATGGAAAGACCCTGTATATATGCACTCAGATCGGAAACTTTGTTCACGATGTCACATCGTGGAACAAAAGTGGACAATATTCCCGATCTGAGTACATGTATGCAGGGTGTCATGGAAAGACCCTGTATATATGCACTCAGATCGGAAACTTTGTTCACGATGTCACATCGTGGAACAAAAGTGGACAATATTCCCGATCTGAGTACATGTATGCAGGGTGTCATGGAAAGACCCTGTATATATGCACTCAGATCGGAAACTTTGTTCACGATGTCACAGTGCGGAACAAATGTGAGAGCAAACCGAACATTTTAACCATATTATAAGTTTATGTAAGGATAAAAATATAAATTCCCTGTCCTTGCACAAACTGTTGCTCGCTACGAAGTTTTGCTTTGTGATTGCGCGTGCAGAATCATTTTAAGCACATTTCAATAGCACAGAGCACATATAATATATGAATAAAACAATTTTATAACCTCATAATATAAAAATAAATGTTTTGAGTTCGCCATAAATTATGCATTCCCATTATTTTGGATCTATATACTTATTCCTAATAATATATATTATAACTCATATAGTACCCCTCATATCTACTGTGATAATATAAAAAAACGATTTCTGTGTTAAGATATAATTTATCTCACATATCAAAATATGGATTTAACCTATAATAACACAAGAAACATATAATATATACATATGTCTATATGTGCACATGACAATTAGGCCTATATTAGATAATTTTTCGTTCACAATAATCTTATATATCTGACCAAAAACTCAGATTTGCCTGAGAGTTACTGAGGATAATCTCATATGTACCCTCTATCTTCCTGCTTAACCCTAGTCTCTAAGTCTTTCATTTTTATATGTATGCTGAACCTCGGGTATTCAATTTTTCCCAACGGTTCAGCACGATACTCTTTATTATGGAAATATTGAAATTAAGTCAATCAACACAAGTTTCTGTGAAGCATTTAAAGACTCTGGACTTCGTCTAGAAAATCCGACAAGTCTATGCAACGTATCATATTCATCATTTTATAATACCACATCAAATTATTCAATCTTGGCTGTAATTGATCGCCAAATCAGTGGTAACTTTGATTTTAAGCTTTGTAATATTTTGAATAATGACTGTATAGAACCTGATTATGGAATATTTTATTCATATGGATCATATGTTCTTTTTGAAAACTGTTCATCTCTTGGAAACACAGGACCAGGAGTAGAATTTTATGAAGATTATATTGGTTCAATTATAATTAAAGATTCTTTCTGTGACAGAAAATATAATACATATAGAAATGTTGAACTAAGTAATGTGAAAAATACATATTCTATTCTTTATCTTTCTCACTTTTCATTATATATGTGTGAAGCAGAGTTTCATATTTTAGAGAGAAAAAAGAATTGTATCACGTGTCATGAAATTGTTTATCATTATTCGCATCATTTCGTTACTTCTTTTTGTATTGTTTTAGTAAAGAAATAAAATCTGTAATGCATGAAAAATAGCGTGACTTCATTTTTGACAGTTTACAAATGTAAAGTGTTGCATCCTTAAAAACTTGGAAATATATACATTCATGAATTATCTTGTATATTAATTGAAAATCCATAAAACCCTAACAATATTTTTTCTTAAAAAAAACTATAAAAATATAAATAAAATTAATCGTTAAATAAAAATATTTGATATTAGAATTTTATTGGAAAAATAAAAAACTTAATATTTTAAAGAAATACTTAAATACTTGAATGTTTTAACTTTTACATTATCATATAGACTCTCAAATTATTAGCCATTTTGGCTGAGAACTATGGTCTGCGAGGTACATAGATAGAATCAGTACCTCGCAGACTATAGTTCTCTATATGGCGCCGAAAATTTTTGGTGAAATGTCGTCGCATTTCATCAAAAATTTTTCGGCGCCATAGGAAGAATTGGAGGGTGTGAGATACTATTACATGCTATAGTACTCACACCCTCCAACTCCCAATCAAAATCGCATAAAATTTGCTACTTATCTTCAGATTACCTCCCATTATAAAATATATCATTGCTATCTCATTGTACTATATTTCCACCCTATTGTATTTAAAAATATAAAATTTTTTGATAATATATTTTTATATCTTGAATTTTCAAACAATATATTCACAGATAATATAATGGGAAATCTATCTCAACCTAGCCTTAAAGTACCAAACTCCTGCTTGCATTCTCACTCACAAATATTAAACATCCATCTCCAAAAAACTAAATTCTTCACAATTTTTTTAAAATTGAGAACATAAAAAACGTATGCATTCAATAATTTAAGATACTAACAAATATTAAAAACTTCAAAATATCAGATATTAACGTTTTTCAATTAAAAAAAATATCATTTTGCTTTTCAATTCGAACATAAATCTTAAATATTTTTAATTAATATCTGATTTACAGCATTATTATCCATTTATAAATCTGACAAATAAATGACAAAACCATCAGAAATAGTATCACTTTTTGTCAAAAGTGAAGTCACGCTATTTTTCATGCACAACACAAAAAGTGTTTCAAAATTCTGAATATCGTTCAACCTGCCAAAAATTCAGTACCAAAAGGAAAAACAAAATACGAAGCAGTATATATAAACTTAATATGGCATGTCGATATTCATTTTTTAAACATCGTCAGGGTGAATATCTTTATGCGGTTATTGACGATAAATCCCGAAAAATTTTAGCATGGGCTCACTTGGAAACAAAAGAAGCTGCGCAAACAAGTAGAGTAATTGACCAATGTTTCCAAAAATATGGGAAGCCCTTTGCTATATGGAGTGATAACGGAACAGAAAATTTTGGGTTTTTTCGAAATTTATTACAAAATGCGAACGTTCAAAGTATTACAATTCTCCCACATTGCCCATATATGAATGGGAAAATTGAAAGGTTTTGGCAAAATGTGGAAATTGAAGACGCCACATGGAATGATATACAAAGTCTTATAGAAAATTACAATTCAAACCCACACACAAGTTTACCAAAAAAACCGGCATTACATACATGGTACACACCTAACAAATTTTACGAAATTTCAGAAAAATATGATTCAAGTAAATTACCGCTTTGGATTGTAGATGGAGTTGTTAAAGAACTAAGAGAGTCAATAAGAAATTTCAACGCTTCAAGAAGGAATCAAAGAAATTGACGAAGTTCCAGAATTTTATTCAACAATTCTTAATCAATTAACAAAAACTATACCGAAACTTATCTTACCATCCAAATCAAATCACATTACATACGGAATAAACATTTAATCTTTTACCATTAAAATTATATTTATACGTTATTTAATTTTTTTACGTCTAAGTTGAATAGGATAATAGCCGAAGATATAAAGTAACTATAGTTTACAAGCTAAGGAACAAATCAGCATTGAAACTAAAAAATGCTGAAATATTATAATAAATTGAAGAAAGTTAGTATACATATCATGGGTACGGAGGCACTGCGCGCCTCCTTACCCCTGATATGTGAATTTGACACTTTACAAAACCGTTAACGTATATTTTACAACACAAACGACAACACTAACTTAACATTAAATATTTACAAAGCCGCCAACCACTTCACCTCACTAATGTAAAAAATAAACGTTCTCACTTACAAAAGTATTGCAACTCCTCCCATTGCTGTGCTTCACACAACAGTTCATATTCTTCTGACTCACTTTCTTCTTCATATATGTCAAAATCACTGTCAAAATGAATGTTAGTAAGTTTTGACAAAGCTAATGAAACACGCTTACCGTTTGTATCGTATGCTTGTATAAACTTTCCATTATGCTTGTAGTCATAAACGCTCAAACTAACTTTACCCTTTCTCCCTCGTATCTGATAGAATGTATTTTCACGAGGAACGAAGAATAAATTCTTGAACTCATGACCGTTGTAGTTTGTTATCTCAATAGTTTTCGTCATTTATATAAAATTAAAATAAAAAATAAACTTAAAATTAATGATATCACCACTCCCACACGTATGAAAACATCCATTTAAACTTAGGGTAGAAGGTTAGATCTAACCTGATATCTACCCTCATTTCTAACCTGTTGAATTCATTGCTTTATAACTCTCTTCCTTGGTTTCTTTTTAGTTGCTTTCTTTACGTCCGTCTCCAACTTGACTGTCTTTCTTCTTCGGCCGTAATGATACCAATTACTTCCACCAGTCAATGGGTCAAATGGTCTTTCGTAAGGGTTTCCATACATTCCATAGGGACCATACGGAAGAACTACTGGTGGAGAAGAAACATTTTCTTTAGTTCCATCGAATCTATTTAAATGCATTGTTTCACCTTTCATCTGGTCATTAAAGTCTTTTGCGTGTTTTGCAAACTCATCGTCCTTTCCTAAAGCATTTTCTGACTCAGTCGCAACCAAATTGGATGCTTTATTTATGAGCCCTATTTTATTTAATCTTAACTTCTTTGCAACCCAGCCTCCAATCTTCCCTTTATTTGCATCTAATGTCTTCGAAACCTTCCTCCACTCATTTTATTTACTGCGTCATAAGCTCCAAGTGCTTTTGCTCCAAATGCTAATGCTTTTGTTCCCATTGCGCCTAAAGCTGCCCAAGCTACCATTTACACCATATTAAAATCATCTCTCTTCAATATTATCTCATAAAAGTTCTCGTTACTGGAGAAAGTCAATGAAACATAAACGTTCTCACGGGCTTCGCCCTCACCGCTTTGCGGTCTATCTAACTTTTCTTATCTCATCTATACGCTTCAAAATGTCTGAACAATTGCTAACATCTTCTACAACAGTTATTTCATCATGAATGACCTTCAAGAACAAGCTCATTTAATATGCAATTAAAATCATTTCAATAATGAGTCCATCCTTTCCATCTTTAGGTAGCACAACATCTTTCATTGAAGAAGGTTCGACAAGTCTTATGTTAAACTTACTGACAAAGTTTGTTATACTATAATGCTTCGGCGGCGAATACATGTAGTTTGAAAAGACATAATATAGATTCTTCAGCAAATTCACTTATACTGGATTTTATAACAATGTTCTCACGAGACCAAATGCCACCAATTGACAATCTTGTAAGCAATCCTGCTGAACCTTCTACTGTAAACGTCGATGGTAACATTCCACGAAGGTCATCTATTGACATCGTTGAGTCACTGTATTTAAATATTTTCTTAAAGCAATCGTCATTATCTAACCATGCAATAGCTTTGAAGTTTTCATTCGAATATACATCTGCTTCATTAAATGTAAACCTGACTTCTTTGCAGAGATGACTTTAAAATCTATTGAGTTTGTTTCAAAATTATATGCTATGGTAACTTCTGAAGGTAATGGATGTCCTTCCGCAGTCAGTTGTTCTCTCACTACCGTTTGAAGTTTTGTATTAAAAACTTTCATGTCATCTCCTGTATCTAAGTTCACATACACAGCAACAGGGAAACTATCTTGCTTCTTTGTTTCATCATTATATCTCAAAACATTAAAGTTCTTCAATAATATTGTTCTTCCTGCTGGAATACTTCGAACCTGTCTGATTTCAATAGCTTTCTCACCTCCTACATACTCTACCCAGTGTCTTGGATATTCATAAGTATACTGACTTTCTTGAATTTTGGTAGGTTTCATCATAACGTGTTCATAGTATATCTTTATACTCTTGTCAGTTAGACTCGGTGCTATGTTCTGAATATTTCTGACTTGCATTTTTAATGGAGATAAAATGAAGCATTTAATACATGACGTAGATGAAGACATGAATGAAACTAGACAAACTTAACTCTTCTCATTCTTCCTTTCAGTAAGGACTATGAGTTCTGTTCAAATGGTGTTTATTTCTATTGTGGAAAGATGGGTTCAGGTAAGACATTTAACCTCATTCGTCATATACTCATAACAGAGCGTTTAGGAAACGACTCTTACTATGACCAAATCATTATATCAGCAACTTCAGACTCTATGGACTCAACAGCGAAAACATTTATGTCAAAAGTTCAAGCCTCTGTCGTTAAAGTTCCAGACAGTGAACTCATTGAATTTCTTCAACGTTACATTCGACGTAAGAGGAAATATTATGCCATTGTAGAGTTTATACAGTCAGGAATGCAAAAGACTTCTGAGAGATGGAAAGAATTATTGACAAACACCACTTACGTCAATACTCAGGAGTTTACGATATGAAACGACTGACAAACTACATTCTGTCAAAACTTTCAAAATACCCTTCAAAAAGTATCCTTCAAACACTCTGCTCGTTTGTGACGACTTCGCCGGAAAAGGTTTAGTTCAAAGCCTGACTCACCATTAGCTAACATCATAACTAAAGTCAGACATTACCATTAACTGTAGCAATACTTATGCAAACATGGAGTTTTTTGCTTTAAACATAAAACGTCTCATAACTGACTTCGTTATCTTTCAAGGTTTCTCACGTATGATATTGAACTCATTTGGAAACAGTCAGGTATAACATTACCTTTTGAAGAAATTTGGGAAGCATATAAGTCTCTCATCTCTCCTCGTTCATACCTTGAGATTCATATCATGACTAATACCATTAAAGTCAAAAATATTCCATGGGAACGACCAACATTGTTTTAAAGTTTAACCTTCAATTGACTGATGGTAAACAAATTCCATGCATCTCTGTCGCCATTTCTGTTAATATTTTTGCTGTCATTCATATCATCCACTTCCCATCCGTTAGCTTTTGAGGATATGGTTAGAATAGCTGTTCTTAAATGAAGGCTTTTCCCTTTGAGAGCATAACTCTATAACTTTCTGCATACTTTATGTTTGAACCTCCTGAGCCATCATTGACATAAATTTTTTACTCTTAACCCTTTTGTTCATGTTCTGCTTCTTCCCTTAGCTCTTTTGTTCAGTAGTTCTACATCTTTATAACAGCTCTGTCTCAGTGAATTCAACAATATTTTCATTCGTTAGCTTTACATTCAAACCTTGTCGAGTAATATTGTTCATTTCATACATATAAAAGGTTTTTATTCTATATGAAATGAGAAGCAAATCCATCTTAGCTGGTGCCGTTAAAATGTTCCAATTGAACAACATCAAATGTTGACTCACGAACGAAAAACAATATTGTCATAAAAGAACTATAGTTCGGAGTGTTTGAAAGAAAAAGAACCAGAACTGAAATCCGGTGAATTTAAACACAGCTTCAAACGCTAACGCTACATCAGATGTTAAGTTAGAGTATCCACCACTGGACCAAATTCTTTCAAGAGAAGCCAACGACAACCCTTAACAAATGTTCAACAATCCTTCAGATAACGTAGACCATTACCTTCTTCAGTTATACCAAACATTTACTCAAAGACGATAAGAAGCTTTTGACAAATCTTATAAGTAAGAACCAAATAATTCTAACAAAGGAGGACCTTGAAAATGTTATCTCACGAATAACAGGGAAACAATGTGTCATTGACTATCTCGACCCTGAAATCGAATGCTGTGGTCAAACGCCACCATTCATGAAAATAGGTAACATCCGCATCATTGAAACACCAGGACTCAGGAGTTGAGTTTAAGTATAAATATTCGAACGAGTATACAAAACTTTCAACAGAATATAAACTTTGTTTGAAATATGTTTTAGTAAATTAAAGCAATTTGTAATATCTATCCAAACTTCTTCAACAGTATCGAACTCATCTTCATAATGCAAACCTAATCTTATTGACTTGGTGCAGTTTTCACTAACACAATATTTTTCTGTTCTCTTGACTGACATAACTAACTCATTTGTTTCATCAAACAGCAACAACCAAAGTTCATGACCTAATACATAACATTCATACTTTATATTTTTAGCTCTGAGTTCTCTTGTAAGCTGTTGCATTTAATATTTTCTAAAAAGTCAACTTCAACAGTCATTCGCACTGGTGCCTTCAGTTCTACAGGCTCTCCTTGAAAGTCAACAAGTCTGAATTGCATGTCTTTCAAATTATGAGGACTAATGCGAACCCATTTACCTAAATGAGTTGCTATGACAGGAACGTTTGGAATGAACATTGAATTTACTTCATAACAGAAAGACTTATATTCTACTGAACCTTTACTATTAACTCCTGAAATGCCTGTGACATTAGCTATTTTAGACTCAATGTACAAACAATTACCATAACATACGTATGGAACAGATTTCATCTCAATCGTTTTGTCAACACTTTTCAAAGGAAATGTCATATGGTATGCTCCCAAAAGAAGTTGTACTCTATGACTCATTCGTGTTATCTTGAACTCTTTCTTGCTACTGAACTTCAATGTTCCTCAGAAGAGAGTTCGACATCTATGTTGTCAATAGTTTCTTCATTTATGAGAGTATCTATGACTCCAGCAATTTTATCTATTCTATACTTCTGCTGTTAGGAAATGTTATAAACTTCTTTTGTCATCTATTTCAATCTCTATGAAATCTGTTTCATCTGTTATGACAAAAGTTGCGATAGTATTGAAGTCAACAACTCTGAAAGCAAGTGCTTCATTCTGAAGACCTAAGTTTGTTTGTAGCTTTACTGTCCCGTATTCGTTTGGGTCTGTACTTTGCAAATAGAACAACATTTTATTCTCATTAAAATATGACTATTGCTGCATATGCGTATGAAACAAATGAAGCAAGAAGAGCACATGAACTAGTAAACGAAAACTCAACTTTAACCATTGAAGGCAATGATTTAGTCATTGACGATGGAAAAACTAAAAAAGTCATTGATTTCGATACTTTTAACACTTATGACCCATTCATTACAATAAGTAAAGTTCCTATCATAAATGATGGAACGGTGCAATATATAAATTCTACAGTAGATGCCTCATTAGTGAAAGTATTAAATGTTCTCATTGAATTGTTAAAGAGCTTTCGATTTGACGACAACATTAAATGCCTAAAGAATTTAGTCATGAATGAGAAACAAATTCTTGGCGTTGCTGGTAGCAGTAATGATGTACACCTTATGACATTAGAATATTATAACGAACATAAAGATGAACTGAAAGGAGAGAAGGGTGACACCGGACCTCAAGGACCTCAAGGACCACAAGGAATACAAGGAATACAAGGAATACAAGGACCTCAAGGCGAGAACGGTTTGGATGGTGTAGATGGAAAGGATGGAAAAACTGCTAAATCATGGATATGGAACCTTATAAATACTGGTTTAACAGCTGCTTCATCTGGAGTTCTTCAATACCAAATCGGAAAGATATGGGCAGTACTTGGTGAAGAAGTTTTAAATGACGTTAAAAATGCTTTGAACTTCATTTCAAATGGTTCGGATACTATTAAAACTTTATCTGGTTGGATGCAAGAAACAAGGAGTCAAATAGATACTGTAAGACGTATAGCAAACAATGCACGTACGGGATTGGATACTTTACGAGAAGCACAAAATACACTAAAGGAAGCAAATGATATTCTTGGCTCAGTATCAGACATGCATGAAGATTGGCTTAAAGGTATTGATAAATCTTTAAAAAATCACAGTCAGTCTATTGCTGACTACAAGAAAAGTATAGATTTTTTACATAGTGCTATGGACGTACATGATGGAAGCATAAGGAACTTACTTAATGCTAACAATAACTTACCAGGAACTATTAAAGCATTTATAAAGTCCTTTGTAAAACCCGGTGCTCTAACATTTAGGTCTTTGAGAGCAAGAGCATTGAAGTCAAGAGATGCAGAAACTCCAACAGAACCTACAGAAGGAACTGAAACAACAGAAACTCCAGAAGAACCACCAAAACCAACAGCTAATGAAATATTGTTCGAATATTTTCCAAGGTACTCTGTTCTCATTGCATACATTCAAGAAATACTTAAGAAAGCAGACTTGACTTTAGGAGATGATGAAAGTTCTGTATATCTTTCGTTCCAGTTTCAAATAGCAGAACTTTTGAGACAGATATGCTTAATGTATGACAACATCTCTGATTTCACAAGATATGATGACGACCATGACCCCGAACACGGTGAAGAAGAAGTTTTACAAACATCCATTAAGACAGGAAAGGTTTTAACTCAAAGTCTCATTATTGACACCAAAGATGGCGAAGTGGACGTTCTTCAAGAGCTGAAGAAAAATACTTCTTCGGGAGGTGGTGGTAGGCATGAACTTGAAATAAATGAGATAGAAGAGAAATTAGCCGAAAAAGCAGATAAAAACCATGTTCATTATATAACTTCAGACGAACAGATTATAACGGACTACCATGGATATTTAACACAGGATGAAAAAGTGAAGACGGAAGATGTTAATGAAAGAAGATATAAATACATTCGTGCTAAAGGTTATGACATAAGCTGTACTGTACAGTATGACACGGATAAAGCACCAGAAGCATTTGGTTATAACGATGAAATTTATGCTTCATACTTCTCTGTTAACGGTGTATTAGTTGAACCAAGATTTACTTTGAGAGTTAAGGCAAAAATAACTTTTGAAGATGCTATTAAAAGTAAAGCTGACAAAGTTGAACTCGAAGCAATGAACAAAGTTTTGAAATCTCATAAACACAGCATCTCCGATATAAATGAACTTCAAGCTACATTAGATAAGAAAGCAGACAAGAACCATACACATAAATCCTTCACTACTGTTAGAGCAGACGACATAATATTGAACTTTGACCTTGGTTCAAGTGCACCATTAGAAAATCCAAGTACAAGCGTAAAAGATACTCTTAACAATTTAGATAAGAGTTGCAGGAATATCGAAGATCATGCCAGAAACTTTGAAGCATATGAACTACCAACAATGTTAGATAAGAAAGCAGACAAGAACCATACACATAAATCCTTCACTACTGTTAGAGCAGACGACATAATATTGAACTTTGACCTTGGTTCAAGTGCACCATTAGAAAATCCAAGTACAAGCGTAAAAGATACTCTTAACAATTTAGATAAGAGTTGCAGGAATATCGAAGATCATGCCAGAAACTTTGAAGCATATGAACTACCAACAATGTTAGATAAGAAAGCAGACAAAACAGAGCTTCAAACATTAAAGACAGAAATACTTCAAACATTATATCCTATAGGCTCTATTTATACGTCAATGAATTCAACAAATCCAGAAACAGTTTTAGGTTTTGGTACTTGGGAACAGATTGTAGATAAATTCTTATACTGTGCGAACTCTTCAAAGCAAACAGGTGGTTCGAAGAAAATTAAAGAAGCAAACCTTCCACCGCACACTCATACAGGAACTACAAACACAACAGGTAGTCATTCACATTCAATAACAAAAAGAGGTTATACAAATCTTGCAGCAGGTTCGGATAGACAGGGAATGCATAGATATGATATTTCAAGTGACCCAGTAGATTCAAGCACAGGTATTTTCTGTGGAACCACAGGAAATCATTCACACACTTTCACAACAAATCCAACAGGCTCGGGTGAAGATTATATGCCACCATTTATGACTATATTCGCATGGTATAGAGTTCAATGAACGCGCTTGAGCCTAGAATAAAATCTTTAACTTTACATAAATGAGCTTGAAAGAAGTATTCGAACAACATCCATGGAGGTCATTTAAGAAGTTCAATGAAGCTGCAAAGAGTTGGGGATTTACTAACAGAGCTGAAGTGAAAAGGTTCTTTGACAAAAATGTTGTACATCAAACAAAAATAAACCCTTACGACTACTTTTTACCAATTTACTCCATCACTCCCGACGCATACCAATTTGACACTCTCATTCAAAGCAGAAAAGGAGGACATAAACCATTCCTCATCTTCATTAATGTTAACACTCGTAAAGCATATGCATATCCAATGAAAAATAAAGGAACTCGTGAAGTGTTAAGAGTTTTACAAAAGTTTGTAGCAGAACATAGCCCAAGTACTTTAACATCAGACCAAGACAGTGCATACCTCAGCAACGAAATCACAGAATTTCTCATTAAGCATAACATAACTCACTACACTACTGAAGACCATAACCATAACATACTCGGCATCATAAACCGCTTCATAAGGACTCTCAGAGATTTAAATCAAGAGCGAGACTTTACCGAAGAAACAATGAAACACTTTCTCGAAGTATATAATTCCTCAACACATTCTACAACAGGACATACACCAAATTCAATGACACAACAACAAGAAGAAAAGTATATACAAAAGAAACGAAGTCAAACACAAAATATCAGAAATTCAACACAATTTACCCTCATTCCTGGTACAAAAGTTCGTGTAGTTCTTGACGACAAACCGTTGACAAAGAAACGTTTAAGGTTAAGTCGAAATTATTATATCGTAGACTCTACGCAAGGTAATGGATATCTTATAAAAGCTGCCGACGACTCTATTGCGTTTTATCCTCGTCATAAATTAGTCGAAAGTAGTAATGGCAAACTTGCTGAAACCATTGACGAAGCAAAGCGAGGAGTGGTTATTGAAATACTTGACTATAACATAAACGATGACACTTATAAAGTAAGATATGAAGGAGGCGTTGAAGATGTTATACCATCTAAGAACTTGAGAGAGTCAAAGCCAACACATCTGGGACCATTAGAGCGGGAGTACTGGAAAGACAAAAATATGCCAGAAAGAATAAGAAAATTCTTCTAAACTTTTTCATTAGATGTAAATCAGACATGAATGAGAACAGTCATGATATCATTAATGTTACCATTTATTTTAACATAAAGACGCAAAGCGGCGAGGACGAAGTCCATGACCAAAAATAATGTTTAGGGTAGATGGTTAGATCTACCCTCATTTCTACCCTCATTTCTACCCTCATTTCTACCCTCATTTCTACCCTCATTTCTACCCTCTTGAATTTTCATGAATTTTCCCGAAATAAAAAATAAAGTTAGTTTTATTTTATTTATTTTGTATGTAAAGACATGATTTCAGGGATTTTTTTGACGAAGTGTCAATCTTCACTTCGTCAAAAAATAACAGTTATCTAATGAAAAAGTGTCATTTTTTGTATTTGACGAGAATGTCGGGTAAATGTTTTGTCATGATTTCATCGTAAATGTTTTGTCAAGACTTCTTCGTATATGTTTTGTCATGACTTCATCGTACATGTTTTGTCAAGACTTCTTCATCGTAATGAGCGTAAATGTTTTGTGAAGAATATAGCAACAGTCTGAATTCCGACGGTTGCTTTTTATACAAAATTCATGCAGGAAATTCTTGAGTTTTGGTTGAAAGAATACGGTGGAGCCAAAAGTGGCTCGACCTCAAAACAAGCATTTTATGAGCTTACTAAGGGTGTTATGAATGAATTCAAATGTATTTACATACATCCTGACCTCGTTCATTTTGTTGCTGAATTCAGCAAAAATAATGTTTAGGTGAAGAGGTGAGATCTCACCTGTTTTCTCACCTGTTTTCTACCCTCTTGAATTTTCATGACTTCTTCGTAAATGTTTTGTCATGATTTCATCGTAAATGTTTTGTCAAGACTTCTTCGTAAATGTTTTGTCAAACATGAACGTAAATGTTTTGTCAAGACTTCTTCGTAAATGTTTTGTCAAACATGAACGTAAATGTTTTGTCAAGACTTCTTCGTAATGAGTGTAAAGGACCCAAAAATAATGTTTAGGTGAAGAGGTGAGATCTCACCTGTTTTTTCACCTCTTTTTTCACCTCTTGAATTTTCATGAATTTTCCCGAAATAAAAAATAAAGTTAGTTTTATTTTTTTTATTTTTTTTATTTTGTATGTAAAGATATGATTTCAACAATCGGCACAACAGCAATACAAACAACTACAGCACCAAACTCGTTAGTCATGAATCCAACATCTATGTTAGTAGAGATGAAAAGCTTCATTCCTTCTTCATATACTTTTGAAACAGAAATCCAGAAGATAAAGCAAGAACTTTTAACAAGTAATTTAGACTGTAGTGCGAAAGATGAAACAAATGAACAGTATCTTTATGAAATGGAGGACCTCATCGACCATTTACCCAAATTGCCTGAAATCCAACAACAAAAGCTCACTATTCATGAATTCGATGAAATAGAAGTGAAACCAACTGACTCAGTAGAAATAAAGAAGTTCATACGTAAAGTAAATTATGAGTTTCTAGGATATCATTGCAACCATAAAGTTATGGACAAAGATTGCGACATGGTATATAAGAACATCTCTGACATATATAAATCCGAAGAATTTAAGACATACGACAACTTTGTTTCATTAGTTGCAGAATGTGTTTGGGAAATAAGAGATAAAGATAGAAGAGGCAAAGTATGGAACAAACAAATAAGACCCGCTATGTTTGAGATGAAGAGAGCAATTGACGCTTTAGTTGTTTTAGCTGGTTTTATTTCAATGTATAACGCAAAAATGAACCCGCAATGTTCTAAATGTAAAGCAGCAATGAGGAGATATAACTACTCCGTCAAAGAGATAGAAAGAATGAGAAACGACTATGCAGATTTAAAGAAAGAAGCAGAAAAACCAGCAGAAAATAAAATGGACATGTTAGAATTTCTGAACAAAAACTATCCAACTGCTGACGATTTCCTTCTATCTGACGTCAAGAAGAAATATAAAGAAACCTTCGGCATAGTTAAAACATTCGATGTACTAAAAGAAGAAATAGAAGCTACAAAACTGTTTAGGATTTCAAATATACATCGTACAATTCATGTAAAACGCTTGTGAAAAAAAGAGGTGAAAAAACAGGTGAGAAAACAGGTGAGATCTCACCTCTTCACCTAAAATATATTTTTGCTGAATTCAGCAACAAAATTCTGAGTAAAATGGCATATGGCTTGTGTCAAACCGTTGAGTTTTCACAAAATTTAAAAAATAACGTTTACCATGTAAAACGCTTATAAAATAACTGGGGTAGAAAAGAGGGTAGAAATGAGGTTAGATCTAACCATCTACCCTAAAATATATTTTTGCTGAATTCAGCAACAAAAATCGTGAATTTCCTTAAGACAGAAAAAATAAAGTTAGTTTTATTTTTATTTATTTTTTTATTTTGTATGTAAAGACATATATGTCAAACATTGAGTTTGAAACAGTTAGAAAGATAGACAATGACACCAAATTGGTTAGAATAGGTGATTTAAACGTAAGATACTCAAAGAAATACAACAAATATTCTTTGTCAGACATTATATTTCCATCTGGAAAGAAAACACACGACTGGGTTAGAAATGCTTCAACTCAGAAAATTTTGACAAGAAATCCTGAGCTTATGATATCGGTAAGATTCTATGGAACTACAGCATATCTCATCGACAAAAGTCTTATACCAATAGTTTTGTTATGGTTAGACCCAGTTGTTGGATATAACTTCATAACAAATGGTTCATTCGATACGGAACGTTGCAGTGAAGGCTTACTTTACATCGTTCAGAAACCGAAGGACTTCAACACAAAAAGATATAAGATAGGAAGGACATATAATATAACTCAAAGATATGACAGTACAGTCAATAGAGTCAAGGTTGTGTTCGTTAATGATATGAGAGCCGCAGAAACAGAACTACTCGAAAAGTTTGAGAAAATGTATGGTGCTCCCATAAAAGGTAAAGAAACGTTTGAAGTAGATGAGATAGATAAAGCTATAAAATTATTTGACGAAGTTGCTGAAAAATACATGTAAAGCGTTTATTTTTGGTCTTTTGTGAAAGATAGAAAAAATAACGCTAATTTTATTTTTATTTATTTTTTTATTTTGTATGTAAAGACAGTAATGTCAACATCAGAGAACACAACAACTGCTATCGTTCATGAAGCCATAAATGAAGAATACGAGTACATACAGTTTAACAAACAACTCCGTCTCATTCGTTCAGTCAAAGATGACATGTACCAAATGCAAAGTATAATGAATGCTCTTAGTTCTACAAAGCAAGCATATCATTGGTTTGAAAACCAACAGGCAAAAGAACTTTTAGAAGAATTTCCTCATATGATTGCTTCCCTCGGAAAACCGAGGGAAGAGATTCCATTCGAAAATCGCAAGAATTTGGCACCTGGTTTGAAAGGATATTATGTTCATAGACTTTTAGTAAATGCTGTAGCAATGTGGGCTTCACCTCGTTATGCTTGTTATATTTTCATGATGTTAGATGAACTATATAAAGCAGAACGTGGAGAGATGGAAAAGAAACTTCAAGCAAAAGATGAAGTCATTGAATCCAAAGACAAAAGCATACAGAAAAGAATACCACGTTCAGTACCAAAAGGAAAGGAAAAGAGTTATAAGTATATGATATATACTGAAGAGTTGGAGAAAGAAGAAGATAAAGATATGGTTATGTTGCATTTAGTCAGAAGAAACAACAAGAGCTTTTATGACCTTGCTAAGATTTACAAATCTGACAGAAATTGGTTCTATCGTGAAAACTTACCGATTTCAATGACACCGAATGAGCAAATAAAAGAAATTGTCAAAAATACTCTTCCTCAAACACACTATGACATCAAAAGGTTGCACAATACTTACATTCAAAGAAGACTT